TTCTTTTCTTTTCTTTTCTTTTCTTTTCTTTTCTTTTCTTTTCTTTTGCTGTTGTAATAGGCCCATTGTTTACTTTTTAAAGTCTTGTGCCTCGAAACTCACCTTTGTTGTTGGACACTTTCTTTTTGAGGTCGTGATGTCTCGGGAGTCGGATGTTGAGGCTCAGCAGTCCCATGGCAGCAGTACCTGTTCACAGCCCCATGGCAGCGTTACCCAGTCCCAGGGTTCCTCCTCACAGTCCCAGGGCATATCCAGCTCCTCTACCAGCACGATGCCAAACTCCAGCCAGTCCTCTCACTCCAGCTCTGGGACACTGAGCTCCTTAGAGACAGTGTCCACTCAGGAACTCTATTCTATTCCTGAGGACCAAGAACCTGAGGACCAAGAACCTGAGGAGCCTGCCCCTGCCCCCTGGGCTCGATTATGGGCCCTTCAGGATGGATTTGCCAATCTTGGTAAGACCCTTTGTTATATAGTATCATGTTTTGTTCAGAAAAACAGTTACAGAAAGTTGTTGTGTTACCGGGTGGAAGGTTCTGATTGTGAGTTGTCCAGGTTTTTGGCACGTTGAACAAATAATTGAACATCATGCATGAACAAGCAATGAAAGCATAGATTTATTGAAGTGGAAGGCAATAGAAGCTAAAGTACATGTCGCAGGATGGGAGCAGGCCTGAGCAAGTGGCTGCAGAGCCCTGGTAGCAAAGTCTTCTGGGGTTCAAGTACCCTCTAGAGGTCTCCCATTGGTTACCTCCTATGTAGATGAAGGGCTGGCTCACAGCCCATTAGAGGCCACAGTGAACTGGACCTTGGCCATTCCAATACTGGTGGGGATTGGCGCCTTATGCAAATGAAGGTCGTAGAATGGACAAATCATAGGCCAGAGTGCAAATTCTTTTTTTTTTTTTTTTGAGAAATCTCGGCTAGGCTCACTGCAACCTCTGACTCCTGGGTTCAAACGATTCTATCTCAGCTTCCTGAGTAGTTGGGATTACAAATGCATACCACTGCACTTGGCTAATTTTTGTATTTTTAGTAGAGATGGGGTTTCACCATGTTGGCCAGGCTGGTCTTGAACTTCTGACCTCAAGTGATCTGCCTGCCTCGGCCTTCCAAAGTGCTGGGATTACAGGCATGAGCCACCATGCCTGGCTGCTCCAGGAAGTTTGTGTGAATCGGCCTTAGATTCCCTGCCTTCACACCCTATTTTCCTGCCTTAGTTAGTTGCAGCAGAGTGCTTGAGCCACCTTAGAATGATTCTGGAGTTTGAAGGTGATAAAAGGTAAAACCAAAGAGGCAGTGTTGGGTGTTGCATTGGCTGTTACCTGCTGTGGATTCCGTTCATTTATTCTTTCAACAAATATTAATTGGATATTTACAATGTGCTGTCCATCCAAGGGTTTGAAGGTAGCTTTGGACCCTCTTCCTAGAAAAATGCAGATTCATGCAAACTTGCAAACATGATCCCCTAATCACAAAAGCTTCACCAGTTAACCTCTGCTGTGGTTTGCCACAGCTTCAGAGAATCAGAGTTGTTCAGAATAGAGATGGCTATTTGTTGACTACTTGTTATTTGTTTTTGTCTGAAAATAGTCAACCTTGTAATTTAAATATGTTGACCCTTTCTGACACCTCCTGGTTCCAATAGTAAGTTTCGCTATGCATATGTTTAAAATACATATGTGTGTATTTTAAAATTGCCAGGCATGGTGGCTTATGCCTGTAATCCCACCACTTTGGGAGGCCAAGGCAGGAGGATCACTTGAGGCCAGGAGTTCAAAACCAGCTTGGGCAACATGGCAAAACCCTGTCTCTACTGAAAATACAAAAATTAGCCAGGTATGGTGGTGCATGCCTGCAATCCCAGCTACTCAGGAGGATGAGACATGAGAATTGCTTGAACCTGGGAGGCAGAGGTTGCACTGAGCCAGGATTGTGCCACTGCACTCCAGTAAAAAAAAATAGTGTTTTTTTTTCTTTTCTCTTACATTACAATGACCTCTTTACTAAACACATTTGAACTTGGCATTAATAGGGTAGAATATATTAATATAAAGAAATGAAGGACTGGTATATCATTTTGTGTTTTGTCACTCACCATCCTTGTTTTATTTCATATCTAACTTTGATGTCTTGAAAAAACTGTAAAAAATGGAGAAACAATACACCTGCATTCTACATATACAACTTTAAATTATAAGTAGACACTCAAAGCTATTTTTTACCTATTTAAAATACATTTTTTCAGGCCAGGCATGGTGGCTCATGACTGTAATCCCAGCATGTTGAGAGACCAAGGTGGGCGGGATCACTTGGGGTCAGGAGTTCAAGACTAGCCTGGCCAACATGGGGAAACCCTGTCTCTATTAAAAATACAAAAATTAGGCCAGGCGTGTTGGCTCACGCCTACAATCCCAGCACTTTGGGAGGCCGAGACGGGCGGATCACCTGCGATGGGGAGTTTGAGACCAGCCTAACTAACATGGAGAAACCCCGTCTCTACTAAAAATACAAAATTAGCCGGGCATGGTGGCGGGCTCCTGTAATCCCAGCTACTCAGGGGGCTGAGGTAGGAGAATTGCTTGAACCCGGGAGGCAGAGGTTGTGGTGAGCTGAGATCGCACCACTGCACTCCAGCCTGGGCAGCAAGAGCGAAACTCTGTCTCAAAAAAAAGAAAGAAAAAAACAATTAGCCGGGCATGGTGGCAGGCACCTGTAATCTCACCTACTCAGGAGTCTGAGACAGGAGAATTGCTTGAACTTGGGAGGTGGAGGTTGTAGTGAGCTGAGATTGTGCCACTGCACTCCAGCCTGGGTGACAGAGCGAGATTCTGTCTCCAAAAAATAAAGAAATAAATAAAATACAATATATTTTTCAGATAGGCCTATAGGTTTAGATGAGTGGGAAACAGAAATGGTGAGAAAGGGCTAAATGGGATACATCACCTTTAAAAGTGAGAAAACAGGCTGGGTGCAGTGGCTCACAACTGTAATCCCAGCTCTTAGGGAGGCAGAGGTGGGAGGATAGCTTGAACCCAGGAGTTTGAGACCTGCTGGGCAATATAGTGAGACCCCATTCTCCACAAAAAGGAAAAACAAAAAAAGACAAGTAAACAAAGAGCCTGATTGGATGACCAGCATAAAGTAGATGCTGAATACATAGAGGCTGTTTATTATTATTATTATTATTATTTGAGATGGAGTCTCACTCTGTCAGCCAGGCTGGAGTGCAGTGGTGCGATCTTGGCTCACTGCAACCTCTGCCTCCTGGGTTCAAGTGATTCTCCTGCCTCAGCCCCCTGAGTAGATGACAACATTACAGGTGCCCACCACCATGCCCGGCTAAGTTCTGTATTTTTTTAGTAGGGACGGGGTTTCACCATGTTGGCCAGGCTGGTTTCAAACTCCTGACCTCAGGTAATCTGCTCGTGTTGGCCTCCCAAAGTGGTAGGATTACAGGCACGAGCCACCACGCCTGGCCAAGGCTATTTATTATTATTTGTTAATTGTTTATACCTATGTTGTCTTCTAAAATTTTATAGTTTTAACTCCTTTTTGTTTGTTTGTTTATTTATTTTTTTTGAGAGAGGGTCTCGCTGTCATCCAGGCTGGAGTGCAGTGGCGCAATCTCGGCTCACTTCAGCCTCTGCCTCCCAGGCTCAAGCAATTCTCCCACTTCAGTCTCCTGGATAGCTGGGACCACAGATGTGCACCACCACTCCCAGCTAACTTTTTGTATTCTTGGTGGAGATGGGGTTTCATCATGTTGCATAGTCTGGTCTCAAACTCCTGAGCTTAAGCGATCCATCCATCTCAGTTTCCCAAAGTGTTGGGATTACAGGCATGAGCCATAGTACCTGGCCTAGTTTTAGCTCTTATGTTTAATTAAGGTCCTTTATTCATTTTGAGTTTTATTTATTTATCTATTGAGACGGAGCCTCGCTCTGTCACCAGGCTGCAGTGCCATGGTGTGATCTCGGCTCACTGCAACCTCCTCCTCCCAGTTTCAAGCGATTCTCCTGCCTCAGCCTCCCAAGTAGGTGGGATTACATGCTTATGCCACCATGCCTGGCTAATTTTTGTATTCTGAGTAGAGATGGGGTTTCACCATGTTGGCCAGGCTGGTCTCGAACTCCTGCCCTCAGGTGATGCACCTGTCTCAGCCTCCCAAAGTGCTGGAATTACAGGCGTGAGCCACTGTGGCTGGCCTACTTTTTTTATTTTCATTTTTTGTAGAGACAGAGTCTTGCCATGTTACCCAGTCTGATCTCGAACTCCTGGTGTCAACTGATCCTCCTGCCTCAGCCTCCCAAAGTGCTGGGATAAGAGGTGTGAGGCACCATCCCCGGCCAGTTTTCAGTTTTTTGTCACTAAGTATGATGTTAGCTGTGGGTCTTTCCCTTTTCCTTTCCCCTTTCCCCTTTCTTTTTTCCTTTCCTTTCCTTTCCTTTCCTTTCCCCTTTCCCCTTTCTCCTTTCCCCTTTCCTTTCCTCTTTTCTTTCCTCTTTCCTTTCCTTTCTTTCTTTCCTTTCCCTTTCCTTTCCTTTCCGTTCTGTTCCGTTTCGTTCTGTTCCTTTTCTCTTTCTCCTTTCCTTTCCTTTCCTTTCCTTTCCTTTCCCTTCCCTTTCCCTTCCCTTTCCCTTCCTTCCTTTCCTCTTTCCTCTTTCCTCTTTCCTCTTTCCTCTTTCCTCTTTCCTCTTTCCTCTTTCCTTTCCTCTTTCCTTTCCTCTTTCCTTTCCTCTTTCCTTTCCTCTTTCCTTTCCTTTCCTTTCCCTTTCCTTTCCCTTTCCTTTCCTTTCCTTTCCTCCTCTTCTCTCCTTCCCTTCCCTTTCCCTTCCCTTTCCCTTCCCTTTCCCTTCCCTTTCCCTTCCCTTTCCTTTCCTTTCCTTTCCTTTCCTCTTTCCTCTCTTCTCCTCCTCTCTTCTCTCTCCTCTTTGATATCTGAAGACTAAGCTGTGGATGTTTCATAAAAGTTCTTTCTGGGCCGGGCGCTGTGGCTCGCGCCTGTAATCCAAGCACTTTGGGAGGCCGAGGTGGGCGGATCATGAGGTCAGGAGATCAAGACCATCCTGGCTAACACGGTGAAACCCCATCTCTACTAAAAATACAAAAACAAAACTAGCCGGGCGTGGTGGCAGGAGCCTGTAGTCCCAGCTACTTGTGAGGCTGAGGTGGGAGAATGGGGTGAACCCAGGAGGCGGAGCTTGCAGTGAGCCGAGATCACACCACTGCACTCCAACCTGAGCCACAGAGTGAGACTCTGTCTCAAAAAAAAAAGAAAAAAAAAAGTTCTTTCTGGCTGGGTGCTCTGATTCTTTCTCCCTATAATCTCAGTGCTTTGGGAACCTATGGCAGGAGAAGTTCTTGAGGCCAGGAGTTGGAGACTGCAGTGAGCTATGATTGCAGGCCACAGAGCAAGACTTTGCCTCCAAATTAAAAATAATAATAATAATAATAATAATAAATAAATAAAATAAAAGCTCTTTCCTAGGTGAAGGAATTTCCTCCTATTCCTAGTTTTCTGAGTATTTTTTATTATTAAAGGGGGTTGAATTTTGCCAAAATTTTTTTCTGTGTCTATTTTCCTGTATTCTATTGTTATTGTGTATTATATTGATTGGTTTTCAGATGTTAAACCAACCAAGCTTTCCTGGGTTAATTCTTATTTGGCCATTTGTAATATTTTTTATGTGTTGCTGGATTTAGTTTGCTACTGTTTTGTTGAGGATTTTTGTATCTATATTTGTAAGCGATACTGGTTTGTGGTTTTACTGTCATGTCTCTGTCTGGTTTTGGTGTGAGGGTATTGCTGGCTTCATAGATGAGTTGACAGTGTTCCCTTCTGTATTTCTTCGAAAAGTTTGAGAATAATTGGTATTAGTTCTTTACATATTTGATAGAATTTAAAATGAAGCCAGCCATGTGTTTCTTTTTTCTTTTTTTTTCCTGAGACAGGGTCTCACTGTGTTACTCAGGCTGGAGTGTTACTCACAATCACGTTTCACTGCAGCCTTGACCTCCCAGGCCCAACTCCTACCTCAACCTCCCGAGTAGCTGGGACCACAGGCATGTGCCATCATGCGTGGCTAATTTTTTTATTTTGATAGAGATGGGGTCTCCCTATGTTGCTCAAGCTAAAGTGAGGCTATCTGGGACTGCACTTTTCTTTGTAGGGGATGTTTTGATTACTCATTCAGTCTTTTGTTTTGTTTTGTTTTTTGGAGACAGAGTCTCTGTCACCCAGGCTGGAGTGCAGTGGCACGATCTTGGCTCACTGTAGCCTGTGCCTCCCAGGTTCAAATGATTCTTGTGCCTCAGCCTCCAGAGTAGCTGGGACTACAGGTGTGCGCCACCACGCCTGGCTTAAATTTTTTTTTTTTTTTTCATTTGTAGTAGAGATGGGGTTTTGCCATGTTGCCTAGGCTGGTCTTGATCTCCTGAAGTCAGCCAATCCACCTGCCTTGACCTCCCAAAGTGCTAGGATTATCATTCAATCTTTTCACTTCTTATGGGTATATTCAGATTTTCTATTTCTTCTTGTGCTAGTTTTGGTAGTTTGTATCTTTCTAGGAGTTTGTCCATTTCACCTATGTCATCTAATATTGTCACACAATTGTTCACTTATTCTTTTTAAATAATTTTTATTTCTGTCAGATCAGTAGTAATTACCTTTCTCATTCTGATTTTAGTAATTTGAGTCTTGTCTCTTTTTTTCTTGTTTAGTCTGTCTGAGGTTTACCAACTTGCTGATCTTTTTAAGTAACTAAATTTGGATTTGTTAATTTTCTTTTTCTTTCTTTCTAGAGGCAGGGTCTTACTCTGTCACCCTGGAGTGAGTGGTGCAGTCACAGTTCACTGCAGCCTTGACTTTCAGGCTCAAGTGAACCTCCTTCCTTGGCCTCCCAAAGTACTGGGATTACAGGCCTGAGCCATTGCGCCCAGCCCATATGTAATTTTGATAGATCTTGCTAAATTGTCCTCCCTAGACAATTATAGACAACGTGAGTATAAATTATATTCCCACTGGCAATGTATGGGAGTACCCACTTTTTCATACCTCTTGCCAGCACAGGGTGGTATGAAACTTTTGAATTTTTGCCAATCTAATAGGTAAAACGTGAAATCTTAATGTGTTTTTGATTTCTAAATTTTCTTATATTGGGTTAGCTTGGCCACCTTTCATATGTTTGAGCCAGCTATATTTCTGTTTTTTGTAAATTATCTTTTCATATCCTTTACCCATTTTTCTACTGGACTGTTTATCTTTTTCATTGATTTATAGGAACCTAACATTTGTTAGGGAAGTTATTCCTTTTCCTGATGGGAGTTGCTAATATTTTCCCTAGTCTGTCTTGCAGTGAACATTTAATTGCCTGCCATGTACAATATCCTAAGTGCTGGAGTTGTACTGTTAAACAAGAGGTCTCCAGCTGCCCTCCTGGAGGTTATGTTCTAATGCAGGGAGGTGGGGAGAAAATATACAAATAAGCAAGGTAATTTCTAGTCATGGCCCATACTCAAAAAGAAATAAAACGGGATAACATTATGATAACAGGTGAGTAATGTTTATATAACAAGCTGAGTGGGAGGCTGTGCGTGGTGGTGCACGCCTCTTATCCCAGCACTTTGGGAGGCCAAGGTAGGCAGATCACAAGGTCAGGAGATCGAGACCATCCTGGCTAACACGGTGAAACCCCTTCTCTACTAAAATTACAAAAAATTAGCTGCGCGTGGTGGCATGCATCTGTAGTCCCAGCTACTCGGGAGGCTGAGGACAGGAGAATCGCTTGAACCTGGGAGGCGGAGGTTGCAGTGAGCTGAGATCGTGCCACTGCACTCTAGCCTGGGTGACAGAGCAGGATTCCGTCTCCAAAAAAAAAAGAAAAAGCTGAGTGGGAGATGATAATGGAGTCCAAAAGGCAGATAGTATTGTGTAAATAGTATCTATACAAAAGGCAAGGTGGAATGAGCCATTTGTGTAGTTGGGGAAGAAGTGCTAAGACCGCAAGGCAGATTGAACCCAGCATTCTTGGGGGCAGTGAAAGGAGGCCAGTGGTGCTGGGTGTCATGAGCAAGGGGAGAGGGGTATGAGGTGGGGCTGCAATGGTGACAGGGGCCAGACCTTGAGCATCTATTAGGCCGTAAGGAAGAGTGCAGATTTTATGTTAAGTGTTGTGGTAATAAGCAGGAAGTTACTGTATTGCAAGTAATTTTCCAAGTCATTAAAAATTACTCGAGAACTTTTAATGACTATTTGTTATTTCACAGTTTTATATATATATATGTATGTGTATGTGTGTGTGTATAAGTACATATAATATATTAATAGATTATAATATATTATATATTATTTATTATGTATTACATATTATATGTATATATAATTAACATATTATGTAATATATAAGTTGTATTATATATAAATATATAATTCTATTTAATGTGACATATATATTATATGTATAATAAATACAAATTATATATATTATATATAATAAATATAAAATAAATATATAATATATATTAAATATTTGTTTATTTATGTTTTTGAGACGGGGTCTTGCTCTGTTACCCAGGCTGGAATGCAGTGGCAGGATCACAGCCCTTTGTAGCATCTCTTGCTCAAGTGATCCTCCTGCTTCAGCCTCCTGAGTAGTTGGACTACAGGCATGCACCACCACATCTGGGTGATTTTTTTTTTTTTTTTTTTTGAGACGAAGTCTCGCTCTTGTAGCCCAGGCTGGAGTGCAGTGGCCGGATCTCAGCTCACTGCAAACTCCGCCTCCCGGGTCCATGCCATTCTCCTGGCTCAGCCTCCTGAGTAGCTGGGACTACAGGCGCCTGCCGCCTCGCCCGGCTAGTGTTTTTTGTATTTTTTAGTAGAGACGGGGTTTCACCGTGTTAGCCAGGATGGTCTCGATCTCCTGACCTCGTGATCCACCCGTCTCGGCCTCCCAAAGTGCTGGGATTACAGGCTTGAGCCACCGCGCCCGGCCTTTTTTTTTTGAGACGGAGTCTCGCTTTGTTGTCCAGGCTGGAGTGCAGTGGCGCAATCTCAGCTCACTGCAACCTCCACCTCCCGGGTTCAGGCAGTTCTCCGCCTCAGCTTCCCGAGTAGCTGGCAACTACCACCATGCCCAGCTACTTTGGGTATTTTTAGTGGAAACAGGGTTTAGTAGAAACAGGGTTTCACCATCTTAGCCAGGTCGGTCTTTAACTCCTGACCTCGTGATCCACTCGTCATGGCTTCCCGAAGTGCTGGGATTACAGGCGTGAGCCACCACACCCGGCCAAGTTTTTTTTTGAAACAGCGTCTCACTCTGGCCCAGGCTAGTGTGCAGTGGCGCAATCTCAGCTCACTGCAGCCTCGACCTCCTGGGCTCAAGCGATCCTCCCGCCTCAGCCTCCTGAGTAGCTGAGACCACCATACCCTACTGATTTTTTATTTTTTGTAAAGATAGGGTTTCACCGTGTTGCCCAGACTAATTTTTTAATTCTTGGTAGAGATGGGTGCCCCCTATGTTGCCCAGGCTGGTCATGAGCTCCTGGGGTCAAGTGATCCTCCTGCCTTAGCCTCCCAAAGGGCTGAGATTACAGGTGTGAGCCACTGTGCCTGGCCATGTGATTATAGATAAACTGCCATTTGTTAAACTCGTTGTAAATGTTGTTTTTTCTCTCCTGATTTTTAATCTTATAAAATCTTGATAAGCAGACTGATAATTCTGATTGCCTTCTTAGGCTATTTTCCTACAATTAGCACTTATGAGCAATTTTTAAACGTTTGATACATGAAATTCAACAGCTGTCTGCTGCATGCTTTTGTATTACAGAATGTGTGAATGACAACTACTGGTTTGGGAGGGACAAAAGCTGTGAATATTGCTTTGATGAACCACTGCTGAAAAGAACAGATAAATACCGGACATATAGCAAGAAACACTTTCGGATTTTCAGGGTAGGTAACAAATACCCACGTACCTAGGAGAGCTGGTAATCTAGTCATTGTTTTTAGGTATTTTCCCACTATAAATCTCTGCTGTTCAAAGTTTGAAATAAAATGTTCTCTGTTTTAGGAAGTGGGTCCTAAAAACTCTTACATTGCATACATAGAAGATCACAGTGGCAATGGAACCTTTGTAAATACAGAGCTTGTAGGGAAAGGAAAACGCCGTCCTTTGAATAACAATTCTGAAATTGCACTTTCACTAAGCAGAAATAAAGGTAATATTATTATCTTATGGTTACTGGATTTCTTTTTTTCCACTCCCTCATAGGAGGAAAATTTGTCCTGTCCTTACAAAGTATGGTTTAAGTGACTAAAGATGAGTAAGTTGCCAGGTGCAGTGGCTCACACCTGTAATCCCAGCACTTTGGGAGGCCGAGGCGGATGGATCACCTGAAGTCAGGAGTTCGAGACCAGCCTGACCCACATGGAGAAACCCTGTCTCTACTAAAAATACAAAATAAGCCGGGCATGGTGGCACATGCCTGTAATCCCAGCTACTCAGGAGGCTGAGGAAGGAGAATCGCTTGAACCCAGGAGGCAGAGGTTGCGGTGAGCCGAGATCGCGCCATTGCACTCCAGCCTGGGCAACAAGAGTGAAACTCTGTCTCAGAAAAAAAGATGAGTAAGTTAGCATTCAAGATTCAACTTTGCCGTCCTAGTTGCATTGTTAAATTTTGAAAAAGTTCCATCCAGACAGATTTTTAAGGTTTTAAGGTTTAATTGGTTTTATGTAATGCCATATACTGTGTTTTTTTTTTTTTTAATTTATTTTTATTTTTTTTATTTTTTATTTTTAATACGGGATCTTGCACTGTCACCTGGGCTGGAGTGCAGTGGCGCAATCTCGGTTCACCGCAGCCTCCGCCTCCCAGTTTCAAGCGATTCTCCTTGTCTCAGCCTCCCAAGTAGCTGGGATTACAGGCACCTGCCACCACGCCCAGCTAATTTTTTTGTATTTTTAGTAGAGATGGGGTTTCACTATGTTGGCCAGGCTGGTCTCGAACTCCTGACCTCGTGATCTGCCTGCGTCAGCCTCCCAAATTGCTGGGATTACAGGCGTGAGGCCCCGCTTGGCCCATATACTGTTAATTGAATTATCATGGTGATTAAAATAAGTTATAGTTCATTGATTGATTTGGTTTATACCACATCAGTCTTAGATATCTATGAATTGTTGTTTCAGGCCATAAATTCATTTTTCCTTCCTCTTCACCTCATTCTTTCCTTTCTTCATTTTTTCCATTCATTTTTTTCTTTCTTTCTTTTTTGAGACATGGTCTCACTCTGTCACCCAGGCTGGAGTTCAGTGGCACTGCAACCTCTGCCTCCCAGGCTCAAGTGATCCTCCCACCTCAGCCTCCTGAGTAGCTGTGACCACAGACACATGCCATCACGCCTGGCTAATTTTTTGTATTTTTGGTACAGATGGGGTTTCACTATGTTGGCCAGACTGGTCTTAGACTCCTAAGCTCAAGCAATCTGCCTGCCTTGGCCTCCCAAAGTGCTGAGATTACATGTGTGAGCCACCACATCTAGCCCCATTCCTTTATTTCTGTATACATTTATTGAGTTCCTTTTATATACCAGGTGTTAGGATATGGGTGCTTCTGTAAGAGGCTCACTTTAGAGCATCTACCTTTGTAAATACTACATGGTTATCCTGTATAAGTGGAGATGTTTATTAGCATCATCAGGTAGCATTTTATAAGCATCCAGTTCTTTTTTTTATTTGAGACGGAGTCTCACTCTGTTGCCCAGGCTGGAATGCAGTGGCGTGGTCTCGGATCACTGCAAGCTCTGCCTCCTGGATTCACGCCATTCTCCTGCCTCAGCCTCCCGAGTAGCTGGGACTACAGGCGCCCGCCACCACGCCTGGCTAATTTTTTGTATTTTTAGTAGAGATGGGGTTTCACCGTGTTAGCCAGGATAGTCTCAATCTCCTGACCTCGTGATCCGCCCACCTTGGCCTCCTAAAGTGCTGAGATTACAGGCGTGAGCCACCGCGCCTGGCAAAGCATCCATTTCTAAAACTATGGAAATAAAATCTGAAATGAACAATTGTTTTTCAGGGTAATATCTAGAAAGGGTACCTGACAAAAACAACCATAGAGTTAAAGGTAGCTCAAGGTGATTAGACAAGAGGAATACTATTTTTCTTTAGTTAAAGAAACCATAGAGCTTCCCAAACTTATCTGAGAGTCGAATGACTTGGAGGGTGTCTATGTGTGTGCAAGACATTTTGAAAATAAAGGTTCCTACAAGTACTCTTCTCTAGATTCTGGTAGGGATTTAAAAAATCATGCCTCTAGGGGCTGTGGCATGAGCCTGTAGTCCCTGCTACTCAGAAAGGTGAGGCTAGAGGATCCCTTGAGCCCAGGATTTTAAGGCTACAGTGAGCTATGATGGTGCCTGTGAATAGCCACTGCCCTCCAGCCCGGGCAACATGGTGAGACCCCGTCTAACCAAAGGAAATAAAATCATGCCTAAGGGATTTTCATGCAGTCAGTCTTGAGTCTGGTATCTTGGAACTATGTCTATATTGGGCGTCCTGAAGTACATTTTATGATTAACTTAGTTTTCTCTGTTTCTGACTATTTTGTTTTCTCTGTGATAGTTATAGTCAGGGCAGCTGCTTTGGGTTTTGCTGTTTATGAGTGTGTAGGGGAGGAGGCAACTGGGTGCTGAAATTTGATCTGTCCTCTACTTGACAAGCTGTGTACCACCTTTTTCTCATTGGTCTGCCCAAAGGGCACTTTTCTTCCTCTTTTTAAAAAATTAAATAAACCTTTAAACATTTATTTAATAGATAAAAATTATAGGTTGGCATGGTAGCTCATGCCTGTAATCTCAGCACTTTGGGAGGCCAACACAGGAAGGCTGCTTGAGCCCAGGAATTCAAGACCAGCTTGGGCAACATAGTGAGACCCCATCTCTACCAAACATAAAAAAATTAGCTAGACATGCTGGTATGTTCCTATAGTCCCAACTACTTGGGAGTCTGAGGTGGGAGGATTGCTTGAGCCTGGGAGGTCGAGGCTACAGTGAGTCATGATTGCACCACTGCACTGTAGCCCGGGCAACAGAGTGAGAAGGTGTCTCAAAAATACATAGATATTTATCATGTGCAACATGTTTTGAAATATGTATATATTGTAGAATGGCTAATTTGAGCTAACTAACATGCATTACCTCACTTACTTATCTTTCTTTTTTTTTTTTTTTTTTTGAGAGGTAGTCTGCCTCTGCCGCCCAGGCTGGAGTGCAGTGCTGCGATCTCGGCTCACTGCGAGCTCTGCTTCCCGGGTTCACACCATTCGCCTGCCTCAGCCTCCCGAGTAGCTGGGACTACAGGCGCCCACCACCACGCCCGGCCAATTTTTTTTTTTTGTATTTTTAGTAGAGACGGGGTTTCACCATGTTAGCCAGGATGATCTTGAGCTCCTGACCTTGTGATCTGCCTACCTCGGCCTCTCAAAGTGCTGGGATTACAGGTGTGAGCCACCATGCTCCGCCATCTTTTTTTTTTTTTTTTTAACAGAGAAAATACTTAAAATCTACTCTCTCAACTGATTTTCAAAAATACGGCCAGTGTGGTGATACTTATGGCCTGATTTTCATTGGGATATTTACTTGCCTAGACCATTTTTTCCAGACTCAGACTGATTGATTGCCTTTTTTTTTTTTTTTTTTGAGACGGAGTCTCGCTCTGTCGCCCAGGCTGGAGTGCAGTGGCCAGATCTCAGCTCACTGCAATCTCCGCCTCCTGGCTTCCCGCCATTCTCCTGCCTCAGCCTCCCGAGTAGCTGGGACTACAGGCGCCCGCCACCCAGCCCGGCTAGTTTTTCGTATTTTTTAGTAGAGACAGGGTTTCACCGTGTTAGCCAGGATGGTCTCGATCTCCTGACCTCGTGATCTGCCCGTCTCGGCCTCCCAAAGTGCTGGGATTACAGGCTTGAGCCACTGTGCCCGGCCTGATTGATTGCTTTTTGATTCTGGACCTGTTGTAAATCTGCATGGGCATTTTATATTAGTGTAATTGATTAAATATTCTGAGGTCAAGGAATGTAAATAATGTGTTATGGATTTTTTGCACTAGTTTTAGAGTGGTGCTTATAGTTCCATTGAAGCATAAAATTTGACTATCATTTATTTCTCAAGGGCTTTACAATATGTATTAGCCTACTGAACTAATTTCCTTAATGTTACATGTTAAATGTAATTAAAAACAATTTTAATATTCCATATGACTAATACATTTTAGAAGCAGTTATCTCCTCTTGTAAATAAATTAATGAAACCCATTTCTACTCTTTTTTTCCTTAGTTTTTGTCTTTTTTGATCTGACTGTAGATGATCAGTCAGTTTATCCTAAGGCATTAAGAGATGAATACATCATGTCAAAAACTCTTGGAAGGTAAATTATTTTCTTATATAACTGCGCTTAATTTTTTCCCTATACATTTGTGATTGGTAGTTTCTAATTTCTGATTTTATAACACTTATTATGTATTGATAACATTTGTATGGTATCTATTTGTGTATTATTTTTTATTTTTATTTTTGTGAGTTATTTCACACAGTCATTTTAATTTATTTTTATTTTATTTCTTTGTGAGACAGAGTGTTGCTCTGTTACCCCGGCTAGAGTGTACTGGCACGATCAGAGCTCACTGTGGCCTTGATCTCCCAGATCAAGGGAATCAGGCATGCAGTACCATGCACAGCTAATGCGTGTTGTTTTTTTTTTTTAGAGTTGGAGTTGCGCTGTGTTGCCAGCTCTGGTCTTGAACTCCTGGGCTCAAGTCATTCTCCTGCCTTAGTCTCCCAAAGTACTGAGATTAGTGGCATGAACCACCATGCCCAGCCAAGTATTTCTTTTTTTATTTCTTTTTTTTTTTTTTTTTTTTTTTGAGACGGAGTCTGGCTCTGTCTCCCAGGCTGGAGTGCAGTGGCCGGATCTCAGCTCACTGCAAGCTCCGCCTCCCGGGTTTACGCCATTCTCTTGCCTCAGCCTCCCGAGTAGCTGGGACTACAGGCGCCCGCCACCTCGCCCGGCTAATTTTTTGTATTTTTAGTAGAGACGGGGTTTCACCGTGTTCGCCAGGATGGTCTCGATCTCCTGACCTCGTGATCCGCCCGTCTCGGCCTCCCAAAGTGCTGGGATTACAGGCTTGAGCCACCGCGCCCGGCTTCTTTTTTTATTTCCTTTGTGTATGTGTGTGTGTGTGTGAGAGAGAGAGAGACAGAGAGACAGAGAGAGACAGAGTCTTGCTCTGTTGCCCAGGCTGGAGTGCAGTGGTACGATCTTGGCTCACTGCAACCTCCACTTTCCAGGCTCAACTGATCCTCCCACCTTAGCCTCCCAAGTAGCCGGGACTATAGGCTCGCACCACCATGCCTGGCTAATTTTTGTATTTTGCGTAGAGTTGGGGTCTTGCCATGTTGCCCAGGCTGGTCTTGAACTCCTGAGCTCAAGCAACCTACCCACCTCGGCTTCCCAAAGTGCTAGGATTACAGGCATGAGCTACTGCACCTGGCCGTGTGTATAGTATTTCACTGTGTATATATACACAACATTTACTTTGTCCATTCATTCATTGATGGACACTTAGGTCGCTTCCCTATCTTGGCTATTGTGAATATTGCTGAATTGAACATAGGAGTGCAGATATCTCTTCAACATACTGATTTAATTTTTTTTTTATATATATCCAGAAGTGGGATTGCTAGATCATATGGTAATTATAATTTTAGCTTTTTGAGGAACCTTTATACTAGTTTCTGAAATGACTGTACTACTTTACATTCCCACCAACAGCGTACCAAGGTTCTCTTTTCTTCACATCCTCTCCAATACTTGTTATTATTCATCTTTTTGATAATCGCCATTCTAACAGGCTTCAGGTAATATGTCATTGTGGTTTTAATTTGCATTTCCTTGATGGCTAGAGACGTTGAGCATTTTCCATACATCATAATAGGTATATTTTTGATGTGTTTGATAATTATTAATTGAAATTAACTCTTTTGCCTCATGAATTTTATTGGTGATAATTATTTTTAATTTATTTTTATTTTATTTCCTTGTGAGACAGGGTGTTGCTCTGTTACCCAGGCTGGAGTGTAGTGGCATGATCAGAGCTCACTGTAGGGGCCTGAGACAGGGTTTCACCATATTGGCCAGGCTTGTCTCGAACTCCTGACTTAGTGATCTGCCTACCTTGGCCTCCTGGAGTGCAGTAGTGTTACCGCAGCTTATGGCAGCCTTGATCTCTTAGGTTCAAGCAATCCTCCCACCTCAGCCTCCCGAGTAGTTGGGACTACAGGGATGTGCCACCACATCCAGCTAATTTTTACTTTTTTTTTTTGAGTTGGAGTTTGTTCTTGTTGCCCAGGTTGGAGTGCAATGGTGTGGTCTCAGCTCACTGCAATCTCTGCCTCCTGGCTTCAAGTGATTCTCCTGCCTCAGCCTCCCAGGTAGCTGGGATTGCAGGTGCCCACCACCACACCTGGCTAATTTTTTTGTATTTTTAGTAGAGACGGGGTTTCACCATATTGGCCTGGCTGGTCTTGAACTCCTGACCTCAGGTGATCTGCCTACCTCGGCCTCCCAGAGTGCTGGGATCACAGGCGTGAGCCAACACGCCTGGGCCTAATTTTTATTTTTTTTATTGTAGAGATGAGTCTTGTTATGTTGCCTAGGCTTGTCTCGAACTCCTGGGCTCAAGTTATGTTCCTGCCTCAGCCTCTCAAAGTGTTGGGATTATAGGTATGAACCACTGTGTTTGGCCAAGACATTTTTATATTAATTCATTAAGTAAACTTACTACATGTTAAGATGGGTAACATTTATTTTTTTCTTCTTGAGACGGAGTCTCGCTCTGTCACCCAGGCTGGAGTCCGGTGGTTCAATCTCGGCTCACTGCAACCTCCGCCTTCCAGGTTCAAGTGATTCTTCTGCCTCAGCCACCCAAGTAGCTGGGACTACAGGCCTGTGCCACCACGCCCAGCTAATTTTTTGTATTTTTAGTAGAGATGGGGTTTTACTGTGTTAGCCAGGATGGTCTCATCTCCTGATCTCATGATCTGCCTGCGTCAGCCCCCCAAAGTGCTGGGATTACAGGCGTGAGCCACTGCGCCTGGCCTGAGTAATATTTTTTTATGAAAAATAATTATTAAAAAGATTAGTGAGAAGAGAGGAACTATTCGACATTTTTCCAAATTTTTTGACATCTGGCTTAGTTAGAAGATGGCTAGATTCTGATATTTGCTTCCTCATTCAGTCTGTTATGTTGTCACATGCCACGTAGCCTCTGGAAAACTCCATATGTATGAGCTAATGAGAATGGAAAACACAAATAATGTCTTAGTATTATTCTGAACATAGTTGTGGCTTTGTGGATGCCCTGCAAGGCCTTGGGGTCCTCTTGGGGAGATCCAGTCATACTTTGAGAACCATTTCTTTAGGAAAGTATCAGGATACTGTTACCACATTACAAAATGCTCTTCAACCCCCTTCCCGTCTCACAAAGGTCTTTCTACTGATATTTTTGGAAACACGGAAGTAGAAAGTACATAAAAGGAAATAATCCTCCATATTCGTGCAACATAGTCAAGCACAGTATCCTCTTTATCATATGGGCGAAATTTTAGTTTACTGATACTGAATTCAGTAACTGATTGTGTTTCCATATTTGCACTGGTTGCTTGAAATCTCACTGTCAAACCTTTTCTTTTCTTTTTTTTTATTTACTGAGACTGAGTCTCGCTTTGTCGCCCAGGCTGGAGTACACTGGCGAGATCTCGGCTGACTGCAACTTCTGCCTCATGGGTTCAAGCAATTCTCTGCCACAGCCTCCCGAGTAGCTGGGATTACAAGCGCCCACCACTGCACCTGGCTAATTTTTGTATTTTTAGTGGAGACGGGGTTTCACCCTCTTGGCCAGGCTGGTCTTGAACCCCTGACCTCAGGTGATCCACCCACCTCGGCCTCCCAAAGTGCTGGGATAACAGGTGTGAGCCACCATGCCCATTGGTGCCCATTGGTGGCTCACGCCTGTAATCCCAGCACTTTGGGAGGCCGAGGCGGGTGGATCACTTGAGGTCAGGGGTTCAAGACTAGCCTGGCCAACAGGGTGAAACCCTGTCTCTGCTAAAAATACAAAAATTAGCTGAGTGTGGTGGAACATGCCTATAATCCCAGCTATGTGGGAGGCTGAGGCAGGAGAATAGCTTGAACCTAGGAGGGGGAGGTTGTAGTGAGGCGAGATCGCGTCACTGTACTCCACCCTTGACAACAGAGTGACAATGTCTCAAAAAAAAAAAAAAAAAAGTATGAGGCTGGGTATGGTGGCTCATGCCTGTAACCCCAACACTTTGGGAAGCTGAGGCAGGCTTGAGTTTAGGAGTTCGAGACCAGCCTGGGCAGCGGGGTGAAATCCTGTCTCTAGAAAAAAATAGAAAAAGTTAGCTGAGCATGGTGGGCTGCACCTGTAGTCCCAGCTACTTGGAAGGTGGAAGTGGGAGAATTACTTGAGCCCAGGAGGTGGAGGCTACAGTGAGCCGTGATCATGCCACTGTATTCCAGTCTGGGCGATAGAGTGAGACCATATCTCAGAAGGGAGAAAAGTAAAAGAAGAAATGTATGGAACTCGGTGTTTTCCTAAGGGAGGATTTAATATGAATTCTCTAACTTGTAGCAAATGACAGAAACTCAACTCAAATGAGTCAGGTAAGATAAAAAATTTACTGGCTTTTGTAACTGGGAAATAGAGAGCCAGGTTGGGCACAGTGGCTCACGCCTGTAATCCCAGTACTTTGGGAGGCCGAGGCAGGCAGATCACTTGAGGTTAGGAGTTTGAGACCAGCCTGGCTGACATGGTAAAACGCCATCTCTACTAAAAATATAAAAATTAACTGGGTGTGGTGGCATATGCCTGTAGTTACAGCTACTTGGGAGGTTTAGGCAGGAGAATCGCTTGAACCCAGGAGGCGGAGGTTGCAGTGAGCTGAGATGGCATCACTGCACTCCAGTCTGGGTGACAGAGCAAGACTCTGTCTCAAAAAAAGGGAAAAAAAAAAAAAAAGAAACAGGCAAATCCTTACTTCAGGCATGGCTGGATCTAGGAGGTCATTAGGCTTTTACTTCATGGTCTTTGAGTTCTGATGGTCTGGTTGACTGCATCTGAGAGCTCTCACAGTGTCACCAGGGCTCTAGCTCCATCTCTTGATTCGGCTGTTTGTTGCCTTCCTATAGAATTGTTCTATGTGGCAGGAAAAATGGCTACCAGGAAGTGCAGATTGATATTTTCTTTGTCTAGAAACTACAGCAGAGAGAACTCTCTCTCCCAATGTCAGCATTTGATTTCAAGGGCAACTCTGGCTGTATGTGTGAATGAATGACAGGGTGTTGCTTTGTTTCTCAGGCTGGAGTGTGGTGGCATGAATGATCACGGCTCACTGTTCCAGCTCAGTTTTGGTTATGTAGCTATCGTGTGTTTCTAGGAGTAGGGATTGTGCCACAGTAGACCCCCAGCTAGAGCTGCATGAACTCAGGGAGGAATTCCCGGGCAAAGAGTGACTGTTTCCAGGAGAAGGGAAATTGGAAAGTGCTTTGAGCTGATTTAAAAAAGAACAGTTGCGTGGACCCTTACCTCATACCATACATAAGAATTAATTCAAAGTGGAACCAAGAATGAAATATAAGAGGTAAAACTTTACAACTCTGGGAAGAAAACATAGGAACAACTCTTCATGACCTTGTATTTGGCAGTGGTTTCTTAAATAAGACACAAAAGCACAGCAACAACAGAAAAAATAGATAAATTAGACTTAAACAAAATTAAAAACTTTTGTGTCTCCAAAGATACCTATGAAGAGAGTGAAAACACAACCAACAGAATGATAAAATATTTGCAAGCCCTATATCTGATAAGGGCTTATGTCCACAATAGATAAAGACACCTTAGAATTCTACAATAAAAAAACAAACAACCTGCCATTTAAAAATGGGCAAAGGCACTGCACTCCAGCCTGGGTGACAGAGTGAGATCCTGTCTCTAAAAACAAAACAAAAAAAATGGGCAAAGGGCTTGAATAGACATTTCTCTCAAGAAGACATACAATGGTCAAAAAGCACATCAAAAGATGCTGAATATCATTAGTATTAGGGAAATGCAAATCAAAACCACAATGAGATACTACTTCACAGCTACCTACTAGGGACCATAATAAGGAAACAGAAAATAGTAACTGTTGGTGAGGATGTGAAGAAATTGGAACCCCTGTGCACTGATAATGGGAATGTAAAATGGTGTAACCGCTGTGGAAAATAGTTTGGTGATTTCTTAAAAAGGTAAACATCCGAGCTCTATGAGGCATAAATAACAACAACAAACAATAACAGAAAAAGGTAAACAGAATTATCATGTGACCCAGAAATTTTCCTTCTAGATTTATAAATTCCCCAATTTAAAAAACAAGTGTTCAGGCCGGGCACAGTGGCTCACGCCTGTAATCCCAGCACTTTGGGAGAATGTGGTGGGTGGATCGCTTGAGGTCAGGAGTTCAAGGCCATCCTGCTCAACATGGTGAAACCCTGTCTGTACTAAAAATACAAAAATTAGTTGGGCGAGGTGGCACACACCTGTAATCCCAGCTACTCAGGAGGCTGAGGCATAAGAATTGCTTGAAGCCAGGAGGCGGAGGTTGTAGTGAGCTGAGATTGTGCCACTGCACTCCAGCCTGGGCAACAGATCGAGCCTATACCTCAAAAAAAAAAAAAAAAGCAAACAAGTGTTCAGACAAAAACTTGTACATGAACGTTCATAGCAGCTTTAGTCACAATGAAGAAGTCTAGTTTATCTATTTTTTTTCTTTTGTTGCTTAAGCTTTTGTTGTCATATTGAAGAAACTACTTAGAAAAGGTAGAAACAAACCAAATAATGTCCATCAGAAGGTGAATAGATAAACAAAATATGATACTTCTATATAATGGAATATTACTCAGCTGTAAAAAGGAATGACGTACCACAAATGTTATGGCATTACGCTAAGTGAAATAATCCAGACACGAAAGGCTACATATTGTATGATTTCATCGATATGAAATATTCAGAATAGGCAAATCAATACATGGAGAAAGCAGATTAGTGGTTGCCAGGGGCTGGGGGCTGGGGGCTGAGGACTGGGGACAGGGTAGAGTAAGGAGTGACTGCTTAATTGCTTACAGGTACAGGGTTTCCATTTGAGCTAGTGAGAAAGTTCTGGAATTAGATGCTGATGGTTGTAGAACATTGGCAGTGTACTTAATGCCACTGAATAGTATACTTTAAAATGATTACAGTGATACATTTTGTTATGTATATTTAACACAATAAAAAAGATGTCTTGGTGAACCCTCAACTCGCCCGTTCAAAACCCACAAAAGTTATAATAGTCTACTTCATAATGGATAATTGATGCCCTAGTAGCCATTCTCTTGGGCTGACCCAAGCTTTGGAGGACAGATCCTACTTAGGATTAACTGTGTTCTGGGTAATGGCTTGGAGAGCATTCCTCTTCCATGAGTAGTATCCCAATTAACTGCAAATCTCTGTGAGAGGTTGCTGCAAGTAGCCTAATTGTGTAATACTTTTGATTTCTTAGGTAATCAGATTTGATTTAGGGTGCAACTCATGCTGTCAACTGCTTATGCACTTCCTTTTAAGACGGAGAATAAGAAAGAAAGAAATATATCCATTAAAGTTATTCATTTGCAGATTCTGTTTACTGTTATTTGTTTGGGGCACTCATGACCAGGGAGGGCTGTTTCTAGTTAATGTTTTTCTGACCTCTCGGATAAGTAGTTTCTCTCTCATTTTTCTCTTAGTATCTTTCTGGGAATTTCACAATCCAGGGCTGCAGTAAGACACATGTTTGTATCACTTAGCTCAGAAATGGAATTTGGAGCTGACTTAGTGTTTTTGGCTGTTAAGCCCTTGACATTTTACATTGGTGAAGTTTCACTGTGTCCTCTGCAAACAGGGACAATGGAAAGGTTGTTATATGGAATGTCTGTAAATTCTAATACTCGAAGCGGACCCAGGAGTGGTAGGTCTCATAATTAAAAACATTCAGACAATCACTGTCTTTGTTTTTCCCTCTAGTGGTGCCTGTGGAGAGGTAAAGCTGGCTTTCGAGAGGAAAACATGTAAGAAAGTAGCCATAAAGATCATCAGCAAAAGGAAGTTTGCTATTGGTTCAGCAAGAGAGACAGTAAGTACCAACAAAAGGCTGCTCACCTTTTATTAACACGTCTTCATAACTTCCCAAAATAATCTTAGCTTGATGATTTTCAAACTCAGGAATAACCCCCTGCTTAGATGGATGAATTTGTGAGTATCAAAGAACATGGAAAATTTGGGGGCATCTTTGATTAATCTAGAAACTTTTACTTATAGATAATTTGGTTCCAAAAGTATTTAATTGTACATAATAATGAGCATAGCAGGAAGTTTTTTTTTCCTTCGTCCTCCAAGTTCAAAGTTGTTACAAGATTGTTTTTACAATAAATGACAGGAAATTAGAGAAAAAAATTCAGCCATAATCCCCACTGTAACCCCACAGCTGTTTTCAGTTTTCCTTTTCCTTCTAGGTTTTGTTCAGATGAAATCGTGTTTTTAGATGGTTGAAATCATCTTGTATGTACAGTTTTGTATTTTGCTTTTCTACAAATGCATTATGGCATAGACTTTTGCCTAATACATCCTTTTTGATGACTGAGTTTTCATGTCATCAACTTTATTGTAATTTAACCATTTCTTTGGCTGATCATTTAGACAGTTTCTTATTCTTTGCTGTTCTGGGTAATATGGCAGTGAGTATCCTTGGTTTGTGGATTAGCCATAGATTTTTAAATTTTTAATTAAATCATTGAAATAGCCTTTCTTTATAGCAGTCATTTATTTTACTACTTTTCTTTAATCCACATTTACTATGTGGGAGAGATGGCCAAATGCATTGGTCTTTCCACATGTGACTCAAAAAAGTAATGTAAAACACAGCCTCTAATCACATTTTCCCATGTGGCCAGCTGTTTCTGGCTATTATACTTTCACATTCTTTAAAGATCAATTTTTTTTCCCCCTAGACAATGCCATTCTCACATGGCAAGAGGAATTTCCTTTTTGTGTTCACTTTGTTATAGATCTTTTTCCCTATGATTGTAAGATTTGTTTCCCATTTAGGGGAGAAGAAAATACCAACTAGATTGTTAAAAACTGGGAGTAAAATTTTATGTTTTGATTTCATTATTTGAATCAGATTGGACCCTTTGTGACCATTCTGTTATCAGAGTATACCCTGACTTGGTAATGAGTTTAGCAGCTTACAGGAAGAGGCAGGCTCTTAAAATTAAACATCTGGGTTTCTTAGCTGAAGTTCATTTTACATAAATATGTAATTCTATCTCCTCTTTGCTTGTGGAGGGTGTAGCCCAGGAAGTTGAGTTACTTGATTCATCCTTTTGGAATTGTAACAGAACAACTTTAGTACCCTGAAGCCTCTTGTCAGAGTCTCAGTAAATATATGAGCCTGCTATTGAAGTTGGAACCTGTATCTGCTCTATTAGTAGAAATTTGACTTGACATTTTCTTTATGCAGTTTAATTGAACACCTTCTTGTTCATGTTTCTTTTATCATTTTAATGAATGTAAATAGTTCCATAGCTAATAAGTAGGGTTTACTAATTAAAAATGAACACAGTGGAAAGATACTTGTTTCTGACTGTGGAGATTAGGGCAAGGGACTTCCGTTTTCTGAGCCTTGGTTGCCCCTTCTGTAAGATGGGGATTCTGAGGCTTATGAGACATGATCTCTGTAAATAAAGAGCTTGGCACAGGGCCTGGCCATTTATTGAATGCTTACTATTTGCCAAGCATTTTACAGAGTTATTTTAGGTGAAGTATTTAAGTCATTGACCTCTGGGCTTTGATTTCTTTGTATGAATAGAGTTGGGTTTGGAACTCAGGCAACCTTGAGTCAACTAAGTTTAACTGTAAATGTTTTTAAAAATATATTATTAATAAACTCTGTTATTCTATTTTCAAAGGACCCAGCTCTCAATGTTGAAACAGAAATAGAAATTTTGAAAAAGCTAAATCATGTAAGTATTATTGTAAGATATGACTCATACTTAGATTTATTTATCTCAAAATATGAGAAGAGTATAAAGCCTTTCAGTATAATAAAGATATTGGCCGGGTGTGGTGGCTGATGCCTGTAACCCTAACACTTTGGGAGGCCGAGGCAGGCAAATCACCTGAGGTCACGAGTTTGAGGCCAGCCTGGCCAACATGGTGAAACCCTGTCTACTAAAAATACAAAAAATTTGCTGGGCATGGTGGCACATGCCTGTAATCCCAACTACTCGGGAGGCTGAGGCAGGAGAAGTGCTTGAATCTGGGAGGCAGAGATTGCAGTGAGCCAAGATCGCACCACTGCACTCCAGCCTGGGCGACAGAGTAAGACTCTGTCTCAAAAAAAAAAAAATTAAATGAATAAATAAAATAAAGCTAATATTAACCTGAGTTCTTTAACTTATGTGTACATGTACATGCATGCCTAGTTGTCATATAGCTGGGAAGAGTTTTACCCCAAAATGTTATTGAGTGAACAATACTATATAAAGATTTCATGATTAAATAATTACATGATATTTCTTCTGAGTTAGTTCTTGACCAAAAGACATAACAATTATTCTATCTCGTAGACACAACTGGTTATATTGGAGAAGACAGTGTTAATTTTAGTAAATTTGGTTTAGTTATACCTGAAGTTTTAACACCTTTTAATACCTTTTATTTGGAGTAATCCAAATAAATCCAAGCGTATCCGTTAAGTATGACAACATCCTGTCCTTATATCTGATTAAATGGTGTCTGTGGCCTTGTTGGATGTAAGTAGTTCTTATCTTTTTGTGCAGTGATGACTCTGTCTCAATGAAAAATGTGTCTCACTTTTAAAAAGTGAGAAGAAAAATTAGCGGGTGGGCCTAATCTTATCTTGCTTTTTATTGTTTTTTTCAGTTTCTTCATTAATTCATGAGCACCCATGAAGGCGTAAGCTCATTAGGCACTGGCATTAAACTCAAGGCAAGACCACTCTCCTGTCCAGCTAATGATGATCTTATTCTGGCTTTTTTTTTTTTGAGACGGAGTCTCGCTCTGTTGCCCAGGCTGGAGTGCAGTGGCGCAATCTTGGCTCACTGCGAGCTCCGCCTCCCAGGTTCATGGCATTCTCCTGCCTCAGCCTCCCGGATAGCTGGGACTACAGGCACCCACCACCACACCCGGCTAATTTTTTGTATTTTTAGTAGAGACGGGGTTTCACCATGTTAGCCAGGATGGTCTCAATCTCCTGACCTCGTGATCCCCCCACCTCGGCCTCCCAAAGTGCTGGGATTACAGGCGTGAGCCACCACACCTGGCCTTATTCTGGCTTTTAACCTCCAAACAGCAAAAAGATTTCTTCTCTGTTGTTCTACCTCTCCAAATCCCCCCAAAAAGTCAGTAGAAACTGAGGAGCAATTACTGTTGTTGACACAGTACTTCAACAGGTTCCTTTAGAACTCAGTGGGTGGACCTGAAAACCCATGAGAACCTGAGTGGCTGACCTTCCTGCTTGGCTTTCTTCTGTTTCTTTTGCAAATTCTTCGTCCTCCCTGAATTTGCCAGGTCCTTTTTCCAAGAGATGGGGAGTCTCTCTTTAACATACACACACAGATACACACACACACACACACACACAGGTATTTTTAGAGACCGTCTCTCTCTGTCACCCAGGCTTCAGTGCAGTGGCACAATCATAGCTCACTGCAGCCTCAAACTCCTAGGACCAAGCGATCCTCCTGCCTCAGCTTCCTGAGTAGCTGGGACTATAGGCATGTGCCACCATGCCCTTCTGGGAGAGACGAGCCCTCCAATTTCCTGGGGTGGGGTTGCATCAGACCTACCCTTAAGATAAACACAAATGCGCTGGGCACCGTGGCTCACGCCTGTAATCCCAGCACTTTGGGAGGCTGAGGCGGGCAGATCACAAGGTCAGGAGATTGAGACCATCCTGGCTAACATGGTGAAACCCCGTTTCTACTAAAAATACCAAAAAAACCCAAAACAAAACAAAACAAAACAAAAATTAGCCGGGCGTGGTGGCGGGCACCTGTAGTCCCAGCTACTCAGGAGGCTGAGGCAGGAGAATGACCTGAACCCGGGAGGCAGAGCTCACAATGAGCCGAGATTGTGCTACTGCACTCCAGCCTGGGCAACAGAGCAAGACTTCGTCTCAGGAAAAAAAAAAAAAAAGATAAACACAAATGCTCAGGGAATTTTCTCTGATGTCAGATGATCTTCAGACATAACATTTGTACAAATACGGTGTCCAGTGCAATAGAGAAGAATTCAAAACCCTAAAAAAGATTTCTAGACATATTTATTTGCATTTTACAAGGGCACATGGAACTCTTGGGAATTAAACATGGGCTCATGAGTGCATTTTGATGCTTGGGGACAATAAATAGAGTCTAGTGGCCAAGAGAGGCGGAACTTTGCAGTCAGAGATTGATGTGGAGAGTTTTTGAACACTTATCATGCCAGGCTGTTTTGTGGACCCAGGCAGTGGTAAGCACAGATAGAACTGTCCTTTCCTTCCCTCACGTGACTTTAGTGTGGAGACAGACCTGGGTTCCTATCTCAGTACTATCAAAGAAACTGAGAAGTCATTTGAAAAGTTTATTTTACTTATTGGAACCCCCGTTTCCTCAGCTGTACAATGAAGACAGTAAGAATACTTATGTCACAAGGTCAGTGTGAGAATTTAATGAGACGTGCTCCTAAAGCTTTCAGCACAGACAACACACTTGGAGAGTGACAGAGATCATTAATTCCCTGAACTGCTTTCCCAGTGTGACCTAAATGGAAGGTGTGGGTTAGTAGCTTCTGATTCCTGGTAGAGAGACCCTTTTAGCTGTGACAGCCCCAGTCAATGACCCTGGAGGTAGTGGACACTAGAGGAGATAATTCACACTGGTTCTGACTATCAGGTATCTCTTCATGCTCTGTTAGCTCCAGACCCCACCCATTTTTGGATAGGTACTGGCACTGCCCATTATGAAGCCAACCAGAACCAAGCAGTTCCCATTTTTCCTTCTCTCTGTTCCTTTTCTATGTGTGGCTTTTCTTCTTTCCTATTTGTTTATGTATGTATGTATGTATGTATGTATGTATGTATGTGATGCAGTCTCCCTCTGTTGCCCAGGCTGGAGTGCAGTAGCGTGATCTCGGCTTACCGCAACCTCCGCCTCCAGGGTTCAAGTGATTCTGCCTCAGCCTCCAGACTAGCTGGGATTACAGGCAGCCGCCACCACGCTCAGCTAATTTTTGTATTTTTAGTAGAGATGGGGTTTCGCCATGTTGCGCAGGCTGGTCTTGAACTCCTGACCTCAGGTGATCTGCCTGCCTTGGCCTCCCAAAGTGCTGGGATTATAGGCGTGAGCCACAGCTCCTGGCTTTATTCTCCTTTAAAAGGTACTTTTTACAGCCATGCATGGTGGCTCATGCCTATAATCCCAGCACTTTGGGAAGCTGAGGTGGGAGGATCACTTGAGCCCAGAAAGTCGAGACTGCAATAAGCCATGATCACCCCATTGCACTTCAGCCTGGGCAGCAGAGTGAGAGCCTGTCACAAAAACAAAAGCAAAATAAAACAAAAAACACAAAAACCTGACCATATGACTCAAGCTGCCTGTTTATGTTTTCCCCATCCTACCCAGAGGTAATGCCATTACCTTGAATGCTGTGTGTACTATCTTCCGCCTTTTTTTTTTTTTTTTTTTTTCCTGAGACAGAGTCTTGCTCTGTTGCCAGGCTGGAGTGCAGTGGCGTGATCTTGGCTCACTGCAACCTCTGCCTCCCGGGTTCAGGCGATTCTCCTGCCTCAGCTTCCCAAGCAGCTGCGTGCTACAGGTGCATGCTACCACGCTCAGCTAATTTTTGTATTTTTAATAGAGACAGGGGTTTACCATGTTGACCAGGATGGTCTCGATCTCTTGACTTGGTGATCTGCTCGCCTCGGCCTCCCAAAGTGCTGGGATTACAGGTGTGAGCCACTGTGCCTGGCCTGTCCCTTGCTTTTTTATTTTATTTTAATGTAATGTAATGTAATTTTATTTTATTTTAGTTTTTAAAATTTTTTTGAGATGGAGTTTCGCTCTTGTTGCCCAGGCTGGAGTGCCATGGCATGATTTCGGCTCACTGCAAACTCTGCCTCCCGGGTTCAAGTGATTCCTAGGTACAAGTGATTCTCCTGTCTCAGCCTCCCAAGTATCTTGGATTACAGGCATGCACCACCACGCCCAGCTAATTTTTTTTGTGTTTAGTAGAGACAGTGTTTCACCATGTTAGTCAGGCTAGTCGTGAACTCCTGACCTCAGGTAATCCACTCGCCTTGGTCTCAAAAGTGCTGGGATTACAGGTGTGCGCCACCGCGCCCAGCCCCTTGCTTTTCTAAAGCCACATATATATATGTATCCCTAGATAATACAGTTTTACTGCTTGTTTCTGAACCTTATAAAAATGGTACACATTGAGTGTCCCTTATCCATAATGCCTGGGACCAGAGGTTTTTGGATCTTGAATCTTTTTGGATTTTCGAACATTTGCATTGTACTTCCTAGTTGAGCATTCCAGATCCAAAAATCTGAAATCCCAAATGCTCCAATGACTATTTCCTTTGAGTGTTGTGTCAGCTCTCAGAAAGATTTGGGGCCAGGCGCAGTGGCTCACGCCTGTAATCCCAACACTTTGGGAGGCTGAGGCAGGTGGATCACGAGGTCAGGAGTTCAAGACCGGCCCGGCCAAGATGGTGAAACCGTGTCTCTACTAAAAATACAAAAATTAGCCGGGCGCAGTGGCAGGCACCCATAATCCCAGCTACTCGGGAGACTAAGGCAGGAGAATTGCTTGAATCCCGGCAGGGGCAGAGGTTGCAGTGAGCCAAGATTGCGCCACTGTACTCCAGCCTGGCGACAGAGTGAGACTCTGTCTCAGGAAAAAAAAAAAAAAAAAAAAAAAAAAGATTTGGATTTTGGGATCATTCAGATTTTAGATTTTTGTATGTGTGAAGCTCAACTTGTATCATACTCTTTGAAGTCTTTTGTGACTTGCCTTTTTCATTCGACATTATGCTTCCAAGACCCATCTATGGTGGGAAAACTGGGCATTCATTCATATATTGTGGGAAGGTTCCATTGGAGGATCTTAATCAGAGTGATGAGTGATGAATATGATGAAATACACATTATAGGAAGATCAATCTGGCAAGTTTTACCACTCTTTTGAATCTAAAACCAAAAAATCTGATGGCTCTTTTTAATTCTGATATAACTACAGTTCTCCTCTGTGCTGATGAATACTCACCAAATCTTTTATTTACCCACTGAGCTTAACTGTCTTCCGTCCTTTTTATCGTAAAAACAATAGGCATGCCCAACCGGGCATGGTGGCTCACTGCTGTAATCCCAACATTTTGGGAGGCTGAGGCGGGTGGATCACTTGAGGCCAGGAGTTCAAGACGAACCTGGCCAACATGGTGAAACCCCCTGTCTACTAAAAATACAAAAATTAGCTGGGTGTGGTGGTGCACGCCTGTAGTCCCAGCTACTCAGGAGGCTGAGGCAGGAGAACCGCTTGAACCTGGGAGGTGGAGGTTGCAGTGAGCTGAGATCGCGCCACTGCACTTCAGCCTGAATGACAAAGTGAGACTCTGTCTCAAAAAAAGAAAATGAGGCTGTCTCAAAAAAAAGAAAAAAAAAGAAATAAAAATAAAAATAAAAAAAATAGGTACGCTAAGTATAAAGTCATGATATTGTATAGGCATTTTAAAATGTGCAGTACTCTCTCCCTTACCCTCAGTGTTCTTCCATGCATCCTGCATTGATCAGCGGTCAGGAACTGTCAGCCATGGAGGGTGTGTGTGTGTGTGTATGTGTGTGTGTATCTGTCCGTCTGTCTCTCTGTGTCTCTCTGCCCCCCCCGCCCAAGTGTGTTTTAGAGTTCTTATAAAATTATAATTTTCCTCTTCCTTCAAAAAATGGTAGGATCTTGTTCCATGGGGTCCAGTTGCCTGGAGGTTCCAGTTGCCCGGAGCTTAAATAACCCTTATTTGGCAGCATGGCTGGGCTCCTACTTGACCGCTTTTATTCATGCTACTTGTCAGTCTCCCTCAGGGTTCCTTAGGCTGTCCTCGAGTACCTCTGCTCTGGGGCAGTGAGGAAGTGAGGAAGAAGACTGGGAAGAGACCCAGCCTACATTCCCAGGTAGCATCCTTGCATATGAAATATGAACTAGTCTCTCACCATCATGGTGAGGTGGAAAATTTCTTGCATGTTCTCACTGAGGAGTCGGCTAGATCCTGTCTGCCTTCTCCCCTGATTGAACTTCAAGCCTCTGGAGGCAGGGGGCCAAATGCCTGGTCTTGGCCTCCCTGTCCCTCTGGGCAGACAGTTCTAAGCTCTTGTGGTTTTCCTCTTGGGAGTTTCTCACTACTTTCCCTTTTTTCTCCCCCTCTTCTTAGCCTTGCATCATCAAGATTAAAAACTTTTTTGATGCAGAAGATTATTATATTGTTTTGGAATTGTAAGTAGTCAACTTTTTACAACTTCCTGTTCCCATTCAAATGCTTATAAAGCCACCAAAGAATCTAATGTAGGCTTGCCTTTCTCATCCTGGGGGACCTCAACGTATGTACGTAGTAGTGGGGCCCACAAAGTCTGTGTGTAGGGAGTTAATATCAACCCTAAAAACCCTCCAATGTTTCCAAAGATAGGTGGTTGGGACTCCAGGTCCTGGATCTGTGGCCTGGGCTTGAACTCCACTCTGCAGTTGACTAGCTGACCACCCATGGGTGAGTTTATGTCACCTCTCTGAGTCTCGTCTTCCTAGTGTTAAATGGGGATTATAATGAGCCCCCACATGCAGAGTCCTTGTATGAATTAGATGCTTTGAGGGATGGAAATCCCCCAGCAGAGCACCTGGCACATGTGTGTACTCACCGTGGGGCAATATTGTTATAATTGGCTCACCATAACTGTGGGTTTTCACATCCATGTAGTCAACCAACCTCAGATTGAAAATACTTAGGAAAATAAAATGGATGGTTGTATCTGCACCAAACATGAACAGACATTTTTCTTGTTATTTTCTAAACAGTACTGTAGAACCACTATTTACATAACATTTACATTGTATTAGGTTTCGTAAGTAGTTTAGAGATTATTTAAAGTATCCAGGGCCGGGCATGGTGGCTCATGCCTGTAATCTCAGCACTTTGGGAGGCCGAGGTGGGTGCATCACCTGAGGTCAGGAGTTCGAGACCAGCCTGGCCAACATGGTGAAACCCAGTCTCTACTAAAAATACAAAAATTACCTGGGCATAGTGTCACACACCTGTTAGCTACTCAGGAGGCTGAAGCAGGAGAATTGCTTGAACCCAGGAGGCAGAGGTTGCAGTGAGCTGAGATTGTGCCACTGCATTCCAGCCTGGGCCACAGAGTGAGACTCCATCTCAAAAAAAAAAAAAACAAAAACAAAAACCACACAGACACACACACACACACACACAAAATTAGCCAGGCGTGGTGGCACGTGCCTGCAATTCCAGTTATTTAGGAGGCTGAGGTGGGAGTATCACATGAGCTTGGGAAATCGAGGCTGTAATGAGCTGTGATTGTGCCACTGCACTCCAGCTTGGGCAATGGGAGTGAGACTCTGCCTCAAAAAAAAAAAAAAAAAAAAAAAGTAGATGGGATGATATACATAGATTGTATGCAAATCGTATGCCATGTTATATAAAGGGCTTGAGCATCATGAATTTTGGTATCTGAGAGGGCTCCTGGAACCAATCCCCCCTAGATACTGAGGGACAACTCTACTCTGAAATATCTACCTGGGTAGGCCTTTCTACGCAGGTCCTTTCAACCCAGGACCAGGTTGTATGGTGGCTCCTGAGTATCTTTCAGTGTTTTGGTAGTTTATTTCAGGGGTGATAATGTCTTGTGTTATTTGGTGTAATCAGAATAACTTCTTGTCTCATTTCTGGAAGATACCAGTCTTGATATCTGCTCCTGCATAAGTGTTTCTAGGAGCAGCTATTGTGGCAGGCACAGAATGCTTTGCTCCTAGTTGGTAAATGGTATCTATGCAGGGTGATCATTAAGACATATAGAAAACAGGTTGGGTGTGGTGGCTCACACCTGGAATCCCAGCACTTTGGGAGGCTGAGGTGGGCGGATCCCTTGAGGCCAGGAGTTCAAGACTAGCCTGGCCAACATGGCAAAACCCCCTCTCTACTAAAAATACAAAAATTAGCCAGGCATGGTGGCACATGCCTGTAGTCCCAGCTCCTCGGGTGGCTGAGGCATACAGAATCACTTGAACCTGGGAGGCAGAGGTTGTAGTGAGCTGTGATGGACAGAGCAAGACTGTCTCAAAAAACATATGAAAAAAGACTATATGGGAAACAATACCCCTGATCACAGCACTAGGAGAGCCTGCAGCCCCCTGTGGATCTTAAAGGAATATCTACTGCTATCAAATAGGAGATTGTTACCTGACTGAATCTAGTTAACATAGTTTAATAAAAGCGGTAAAACAGGGCTGGGTGCAGTGGTTCACGCCTGTAATCCCAGCACTTTGAAAAGGCTGAGGTGGGCAGATCACCTGAGGTCAGAAGTTCGAGACCAGCCTGACCAACATGGAGAAACCCTGTCTCTACTAAAAATACAAAATTAGCCAGGCATGGTGGGGAATGCCTGTAATCCTAGATACTCAGGAGGCTGAGGCAGGAGAATCGCTTGAACCCGGGAGGTGGAGGTTGCGATGACCAAGATCGTGTCATTACACTCCAGCCTGGGCAACAAGAGTGAAAATCCATCTAAAAATAAATAAATATATAAATAAAAGAATAACCTTGCCAAGCACCGGTGCCAGGAGCTTTTCCTACATCAGTTATGTCTTAATTTTTATAACAACCATCAAGGTAGATGGTATCATCCCCATTTTTTAAGTGGTCGAAACAAACTCAGACAGGTTAAATAGCTTGCCCAAAGTCCAAAAGCTGGAAAATGGTAGAATTGGGGTTCAGATCCTGGTTGTCTGTTTGTAAATTTCTGTTTACTCTTCTACATCAGTCTCAGAATCATCTGTGGTGTGTGATAAACATGCAAACTCCTGACTGGGTGCAGTGGCTTATACCTGTAATCCCAGCACTTTTGGGAGGGCAAAGTGGGCAGATCACTTGAGGCCAGGAGTTTGAGACCAACCTGGCCAACATGGCAAAACCTTGTCTCTACTAAAAAAAATAACAAAAATTAGCTGGGCATGGTGGCGCATACCTGTAATCCCAGCTACTTGGAAGGCTAAGGCATGAGAATCACTTGAACCTGGGAAGTGGAGGTTGCAGTGAGCCAAGATTGCACCACTGTGCTCCAGCCTGGGTGACAGAGCAAATGTCTCAAAAACAAAAAAAACAAAAACAAAACAAAACAAAAAAAACCCAAAAGCAACTCCTGGGCCCCACTTCCAAGCTACTGAATCGGATTTTTTAAAGTTCCCCAAGTGCCTCCAATGCCCACTCCTTTCATCTCGTTCCTTAGTTTCCAACTGGGACATCTGATTGTGAATAAGGCTGATTACCTCATTAGTTTTAAAAATGGGAGTCAAAAGTGAATAAAAAGTCAACTGTTTGCTTGTCTTAATGAATTTGTTTTGTTTGTTTTATTGTCTTCTGTCCAAGTGCATTTCCCCCCAGGGAATGAACCCCTTGCCTTGCCTTTGTGTTTCAGGATGGAAGGGGGAGAGCTGTTTGACAAAGTGGTGGGGAATAAACGCCTGAAAGAAGCTACTTGCAAGCTCTATTTTTACCAGATGCTCTTGGCTGTACAGGTAAGAGAAGCCCTCAATTATTTTGACAGATGACTTTCTTTTAGTTGAATTACTCCCTGAATTAGGCAGAAATTGAGGGACCGTCGATTAAAACTCAGAAGAGAGGCCAGGCTTGGTGGCTCAAGCCTGTAATCCCAGCACTTTGGGAGTCCAAGACGGGCGGATCACGAGGTCAGGAGATCGAGACCATCCTCGCTAACACGGTGAAACCCGTCTCTACTAAAAAAATACAAAAAACTAGCCGGGAGTGGTGGTGGGCACCTGTAGTCCCAGCTACTCGGGAGGCCGAGGCAGGAGAATGGCGTAAACCCAGGAGGCGGAGCTTGCAGTGAGCTGAGATCCAGCCACTGCACTCCAGCCTGGGCAACAGCGAGACTCCGTCTCAAAAAAAAAAAAAAAAAAAGAGATAGCATGGTCCTATGTTGCCTAACTTTAGCTTGGAGGTATTTCTGGAGGGGTCTTGATCATTAGGTTCATTAGTTCTGCTTGATCCTTGTAGAAGTCTCTCTTAACTCAGAGTGGGAGCTGGGCAGGTTTGAGGGCAAAGCTGCAAGTTGTGATGATTGTGACATGGGTTGGTCCCCCATGGCTCAGAACTAGGTGTTTCCCTTCAGGTGCAGCATCCTGTTCACGGCAGTGGGCTGGCCGGCAGGGCACGCACAAAGCCGTCTCTATTCAGTGAGTGTTAGATGAACAAATAGCTGGTGGCACTTGCTTTGAGGAACATCACCATTTCCCAGACCAAATGTGGTTGTGGCCATTCCCTTCCACAGTCTCTTCTTGAAAACCCACTCCATGCAGGAAATGCAGTGACTGGGAGCAATCCTTGTACAGAGTGAGGATCAAGAGAAATTTTTTTTTTTTTTTTTTTTTTTTTTTTTTTTTTTTTTTTGAGACCAAGTTTTGCTCTTGTTGCCCAGGCTGGAGTGCAGTGGTGCGATCTTGGCTCACTGCAACCTCCGCCTCCCGGGTTCAAGCGATTTTCCTGCCTCAGCCTCCCGAGTAGCTGGGATTACAAGCATGCGCCACCGTGCCCGGCTAATTTTTTTGTATTTTTCTTAGAGACAGGGTTTCTCCATGTTGATCAGGCTGGTCTCAAACTTCCGACCTCAGGTGTTCCACCTACCTCGGCCTCCCCAAGTGCTGGGATTACAGGCGTGAGCCACCGTGCCTGGCCCAAGAGAAATTTTTTTGTGATTGGTCTATGTAGGTTTGCCCTCCCTGGAGGTTTCACCAGATCCATTTCCCAGTGAAGGTTTTGCAGAAAATGTTTGTTCTAGCCCAGAGGGACATCTAGAGAAGACTGAAGCCCCTAAACACAAGCCTTTTAAATTTATTTTTGTTTTATTTTATTTATTTATTTATTTTTTTGAGACGGTGTCTCGCTCTGTCTCCCAGGCTGTCTCCCAGGCTGGAGTGCAGTGGCACGATCTCGGCTCATTACAACCTCTATCTCCTGGGTTCAAGCAATTCTCCTGCCTTAGCCTACCCAGTAGCTGGGATTACAGGTGCCTGCCACCACACCCCGCTAATTTTTTTTTTTTTTTGTATTTTTAGTAGAGATGGGGTTTCACCATGTTGGCCAGGCTGGTTTGAAACTCCTGACCTCAAACAATCCACCTGCCTTGAGCTCCCAAAGTGCTGGGATTACAGGCATGAGTCACCGTGCCTGCCCACAAGCCTTTTTTAAAAAAATTTAATTTTAATTTTTGTGGGCACATAGTAGGTGTACATGTTATGGGGTACAACGCAAGCATTTTTAATAGTGGCTGTCACCTACTCAGTGTATTGCTCCCTTATTGGTTTATTCCATTTATTTATATTAAGTAGCCAAGAATATTAACATGAATTGAGTACAGTTTGTGGATATGTGAAAATTTTGTTTCCTAAAAAAAATGGCCAGGCATGGTGGCTGATGCCTGTAATCCCAGCACTTTGGGAGGCTGAGGTTGGTAGGTCACTTGAGCCCAAGAGTTCCAGACCAGCTTGGGCAACATTGTGAGACCCCGTCTCTACAAAAAAATAAAGAAATTAGCTGGTTGAAGTGGCATGCATTGTGCCTATGGTCCTAGCTACTCATGAGGCTGAGGTGGGAGGATCACTTGAGCCGAGGAGGTTGAGGCTGTAGTGAGCTAAGATGGTACCACTGCACTTCAGCCTGGGGGACAGAGTGAGACCTTGTTTCAAGAAAAGAAAAAAAAAAAAAGAGAGAAAAGAAAAGAAATGTGGCATAGTATGTTGGTGTTTGTTCATTTTTATATGCTATTTCAGACAATAGAGTTTTCAAAGACAAAGTCTTTGCATTGAGGAATAGGTTAAATCACGTAAACAGATAATTTACAAATATGTATTTGTATAGATTCCCTTTAAAAATATTCCCAGGACTGCAATAACCAAATATATCATTTTGGTTGAATTTTTGTGTTTATTTGGTATGTTCGCAAAACATTTTCTATTACCCATTTGTATTTGTATTGAAATTGACACCTTACATTTCTGCCATGTGAAGGGTTGTTTATTATCTTAAAGTGAAATGAAAGGTTGATTGTTCTAAGTTGCTTTTTTCATTTCCCTGCTTTTTAAAGATCTTCTCAAACAAATTTGTAAACTTTACCCCAACAGTTTTCTATGATTTTGGACAATATGATTGTGTGTATCACGGCTTACGGTTTCACCCAGCTGTGAGATGTGTGTGTTGGTAACTTTGATTCTACTTATCTACTGCATGAATCTGAGGGTCATGCCTGCCTTTCTGTGTAGTACCTTCATGAAAACGGTATTATACACCGTGACTTAAAGCCAGAGAATGTTTTACTGTCATCTCAAGAAGAGGACTGTCTTATAAAGGTAAGAAATTGGCATTCTGTATGTGGCTATTCCTGTAGATTCTTGTTCAGAAACTTTTAATTCCTCAAATAAAAAGTGGGAGTGTTAAAAGGTTGAGAATCTGACCTCTTACCAATTATTTTAGAGATCAGGTGACATTGCTCTTATCCAGATTTGAATGAGCATTTATTGAGCTCTGTTGTGTGCAAGTGACCTTTATGCTGAGAGGGAGAGAGCAGGGGTCTAAATGGATGAGTGGGCTGGGCACGGTGGCTCACACCTGTAATCCCAGCACTTTGGGAGGCCGAGGCAGGCAGATCACCTGAGGTCAGGAGTTTGAGACCAGCCTGGCCAACATGGCAAAACCCCATCCCTACTAAAAATACAAAAATTTAGCTGGGCATGGTGGTGGGTGCCTGTAATCCCAGCTACTTGGGAGGCTGAGGCACGAGAATCACTTGAACCCGGGAGGCAGAGGTTGCAGTGAGCTAAGATCGCACCACTGTCCTCCAGCCTGTGCAAAAGGTCGAGACATTATCTCAGAATAGGTGAATGAATGAATGAATTAATGAGTAATCACGTGCCCTGCCTTTCCGTGTTTCTCAAGCCTGGCATCACTTTAGAATCTCTTGTTAGGATTTATGACATCCAGGCTTTACCTCAGAAGCTGAGAGTGGCACTCAGTTATAAGCATGTGTTTCCAGGCTCCCCAGGTATTCCATAGTACAGCCAAGTTTGAGACACTGGGGCCTAAGAACCACATAGAACTAATTAGAATCCTAAAGTGCCTGTGATAATGGCAATAAGCTTTTTGTAAGATTACGGGGGACATAGGTTAAGTTGGAAAGCCTGAGTGTTGATATTCCTAGGCTCAGGAATTTTAATTTAAGCAAAATTAAATGTCTTAACTTGCAAAGACATGAATCTGTAGATTCCAGATTAATGGCAGGTGTGAATTGTACGATAGAAACTGATCTAGCCTACATGTCTTCTTGGACTGGCAGACTATGTTAATCTTTTTATTTATGACATAGTTCAACATTATCCCCTTTTGTACTGAATTTTAGATTACTGATTTTGGGCACTCCAAAATTTTGGGGGAGACCTCTCTCATGAGAACCTTATGTGGAACCCCCACCTACTTGGCTCCTGAAGTTCTTGTTTCTGTTGGGACTGCTGGATATAACCGTGCTGTGGACTGCTGGAGTTTAGGAGTTATTCTTTTTATCTGGTAAGAAACATTTTCATTGCTTCACAGACTGGTAGGAGGTGATTAAATGAAGTCACAAATGTGTCTTGCTGTGTTGTCCAGGCTAGCATGCAGTGGCTTGATCTTGGCTAACTGTAGCCTCTGCCTCCAGGGTCAAGTGATCCTCCCACCTCAGCCTCCTGACTAGCTGGGACTACAGGCGCACACCACCATGCCCAGCTAATTTTTCTATTTTTTGTAGTGATGGAGTTTTGCCATGTTGCCCAAGCTGGTCTTGAACTCCTGGGCTCAAGTGATCCTCCTGCCTTAGCCTCCCAAAGTGCTGGGATTATAAGCATGAGCCATTGTGCCCAGCCTAGCTCACTTTTTGACCATTGATATAAAGAAAAAGCTTGACTTTTCATTATGCTGAGAAAGAAATCTTCATATCTGAATGCCACTGAGAATGCCACTTGATTTCTTTTCCTTTCTCTCTCTACCAATATTAAGCCTTAGTGGGTATCCACCTTTCTCTGAGCATAGGACTCAAGTGTCACTGAAGGATCAGATCACCAGTGGAAAATACAACTTCATTCCTGAAGTCTGGGCAGAGGTCTCAGAGAAGGGTATGAATACGAAAGGGTTAAGAATTTGTGGTATGCTAAAATGTGTATGTGCTGTGGTGGGAGTTTCTTTCCAAATTCCATGGTGTTTTCTCCTGTCAATTCTGTTCTTATTTTCTGTTGTTAGTTTCACACCATTTGAGAGGCACTGGAAATTATTAAGAGTGTGCACTCAGGTCCTGGGTCTGCTACTACTTAGCTGTGTGGCCTTAGGCAAGTTATTTAACCTCTGTCTCCAATTTCTTTCTGTGTAAAGGGACCCTCAATAATCCCTACCTTAAAAGGTTTTTGTAAGGGTTAAGTATAATGTACACAAGTGCCTGGTACCTATTTTAGTGCCCAAAAAAAGTGCACTTGTAACTTTTTAGTTACAGGGTTTCCTTTGAGTAAGCAAGCATGTAAAAATGATGTCATTAGTTATCTTGTATTTTATAATTTATCCTGGCAACTTTAGTTCCCCAAAGAGAAAGTAGAAAATTAAATGTCAAATAATATAACATAGGCGATTGTGTTAAATGTCAGAATATTTAAGGAATAATAGTGTTGTAATATACAAGCCAGCGTGCATTTGTTGCTTGCTGGAGTAGTCAAGTTTTATTTCTGACAAGTCTGCAGTTCTCTCCCTGGCTAAGTAACTCTCACCCATCCATCTGTAGATGTCAGGGAGAGTTTGCTACGTATCCCAAGTATCTTAGAATTGGGTGGAAGTTTAGCTTTAATTAGTTTGACCTTGAGTCAACAGGCAACAAGAGAGGGAACAGGCAGCGAAAGAGGTGGTGACTGACATCCCAACAGCAGGAGACAGGGAGTATCATTATCATTCCTGGTCTTCTCATAGTACTCTGAATACAGAGAGTGAGGAAGATTAGGGGGCCCTGTCTGCTGACTGTGATGATCTCAGACCCTCTCTGCTCTTTCTGGATGGTGGCCTATTAATTCTGGCATACTATTACGATTTAATATATTTATCCTTTTCACTGTGATTTGCCCAATTGTTGCTTTAGCTCTGGACCTTGTCAAGAAGTTGTTGGTAGTGGATCCAAAGGCACGTTTTACGACAGAAGAAGCCTTAAGACACCCGTGGCTTCAGGTGGGTGTGGGATAGTGCCTGCTAGCATAAAATACATGGGAAGCTCTGCTGCCTAAGAGACATGAGGCAGAGGACAGAAACATGTTTACTTTGTTAAGTCTGCTTAATCTAATTGTTTTAGATATATGGCGGATATCTTAGAGGATGGGTTACAACCTGTTTTTGTTTTTTTTTTGAGACAGGTTCTCGTTCTGTCACCCAGGCTAGAGTGCAGTGGCGCGATCTCAGCTCACTGCAACCTCTGTCCCTTGGGTTCAAGCGATTCTTCTGCCTCATCCCCCTGAGTAGCTGGGATTACAGGTGCATGCCACTATGCCCAGCTAATTTTTGTATTTTTTGTAGAGATGGGGTTTCACTGTGTTGGCCAGGCTAGAACCTTTTTGATGTTACTCATGGCTGTTGGATGTACAAGCTGACTTTCTGTCCTGTTCTGGTTCCACTTGACTGCCCCTAGTCTCCAGTTTGGCCTGTGTTCCTTTGAGGGCTTGTTCTGGCTCTAGCCCCAGCCATGTCCACCGTTCCTCATAGGTGGGGTGCATTCCAGCCATCTTCAACCTTAAATCAGGGAAGCTGCGGGAGGGGAGGAGGGCAGCCTCCCTAGGGAGAATCCAGCTGTTTCTCAAGCCCAAGTGACTGGGTACCAAGGGTCCTACTGCTTGTTCATTCAGGTGAGTAAACGTGTCCTTAGTGAAGGCTATCACCTGCACCTTTCATCTGTATTACTGCTGTGTTCCTGCTAGGGGTTGGGGCTGCCATTATTAAATGCTGACCTCACTTGGAACTGCCAAGAGTTGGAAGTACGTTGTGGCTTTGCTGGGTTAATCTTTAGTTTTGGAATTAGCTACGGCATTGGGCAAGTTTTTCTGATAGATGTCTGGTCTTCTGTTATGAGCAGTTCCATTCAGCACAGCCATGCCCCTTTCTATTAATTTTCTTTTGGTCTGTGTATTAGTCTGCTCTCACGCTGCGATAAAGAACTGCCCGAGACTGGGTAATTTATAAAGAAAAGATGTTTGATTGACTCACAGTTCAACGTGGCTGGGGAGGCCTCAGGAAACTTACAATCATGGTGGAAGAGGAAGAAGGCATGTCTTAATGGCAGCAGGGGACAGAGTGTGTGAAGGAAGTGAAGGGCGAAGAGCCTCTTATGAAACTGTCAGATCTTGTGAGAACTCACTCACTATCACTAGAGTAGCCTGGGGGAAACCGCCCCCATGTGCCAGTCTCCTCTCAACAGGTCCCTCTCTCAACACCTGGGGATTACAATTTGAGATGAGATTTGGGTAGGGACACAAAGCCAAACCGTATCGATCTGTTTTCTGTGGAGATGGGGGACAGAACCAGGTAGCTTGAGCTCTAGAGGCTGTTACTTGAGCTACATGCTGTTTCTCTGGGGATTATTGGTCCAGGAACTCCTTGGGCAATCCAGCCTCAGCCCCATACTTCTGGGACTCTGGGAAGACTGTCCCCATTCTCTGTTCCAATCCTCTACACCTAACAGTTTTGCTCAGGCCAGCTCAGGTTGAGAACAACAAATCCTTAAAAAAAAAAAAAAAAAAAAGACAGATATATGTGTTTTGGATGTTGCCCTGGAAACTACAGTCTCCCCAGAAGAAATCTGTCAGATGATTTAGCATTTAATAGACCACACAGATTTGAAACAGCAGGACCCTGGAGGAAAGGGGTTTGGAAACAAAGGGTGCCTTTGCATGTGGGGATTTTAAGTTTGATGAAAAAGAGAAACATGTCTTTTGGCTCTTTTCATGTGTCCTAATAGGGAAACTCTTGGGTCTAAATGTAGAGGTACAGGAGCTGTGTTCATTTCTAACAAAAAAATAGAGCTGGCCAGTTGAGCCTGGGAACAGGGTTTGCATCTGCCTGAAATTTATGAGCAAGCATAGCCTATTTTTCTTGTACTTCTTTGTCTCAAAGAAAACTTATTAACAACCAAGGAGAAGGTGAAGTTCAACTCCGTTGCAGGGTCTCCCTGGAACACTCTTTTATCCACCTTTTGTTTTTGCAGTAAAAGGAGGAATGAGCATTGAATGAAGACAAAGATGAAGACTGACCATCTAAAACATCTGTTAGTGATAGTTTGGGTTTTATTTTGGGAAAATTCAGTGTTTTCAAAAAAAACCAAATGGTTTTGTGGGTCTGGCGCTGGACTGAGTGTTGGGAATGTGGATTCTGGTCTCTGTTTTGTCATTAACAGAGTACCCAGTTTTGGGAGCATCCCTTATATCTACTCTCTGCCTTGTATTTACTGCCTGAAATAGAGGATTTCTTCTGTTTGCTTTTAAGGGATATTATAATTTAATCTTTATTTTATTTATTGTTGGAGACAAGGTCTTCCTCTGTTGCCTAAACTGGAGTGCACTGGTGCAATTATAACTTACTGTAGCCTCGACCTCCTGGCCTTAAGGGATGCTCCCACCTCAGCCTCACAAAGTGCTTGGATAATAGGCATGAGCCACTGTTCCTGGCTAATTTAATATTTGGGAATAATTGTAGACATCATGAAGAAAATCAATATTTATTTATTTATTTCATTTTCTGAGACGGAGTCTCACTTTTGTCTAACAGGCTGGAGTGAAATGACACGATCTCAGCTCACTGGAACCTCTGCCTCTAGGTTCAAGTGATTCTCTTGCATCAGCCTCCCAAGTGGCTGGGATTACAGGTGCCTGCCACCATGCCCAGCTCATTTTTGTATTTTTAGTAGAGACGGGGTTTCACCATGTCAGTCAGGCTGGTCTCGAACTCCTGACCTCAGGTGATCCACCCACCTTGGCCTCCCAAAGTGCTGGGATTACAGGCATGAGCCACTGCGCCTGACCTGTTTACTTGTTTTAAATATAGGCCCGATTAGGCTTGTGACCACTCTGTTTGGCTTCACTGAAGGGCTGCTAAGAGATGGACTTTTGAGAGTGACACTGCAAGATAACTGAGATCCTAAGTAAGGCCATGAGAGGGTGTGGAGTGGAATCCAGATGAGCTTGCTGCTGTCATACGGCAATGGGGAGCTACACTGAGAAACTTAAAACAGAGTGACCTCAAGTGATCTGCCCTGCCTTGGCCTCCCAAAGTGCTGGGATTATAGGCATGAGCCACTGTGCCTGGTCCTTCTTTGCTTCTTTCTTTCTTCCTCCTTCCTTCCCCTTCCCTCCCCTCCCTTCCCCTCCTCTCCCTTCCCCTCCCCTCCCCTCTTTCCTCCCCCCTTTCCTCCCCTGCTCCCTTTTTTCCTTCCTTGCTTCTTTCCTTTCTTCCTTCCTCAGGGTCTTGCTCTCTCACCTAGGCTGGAGTGCAGTGGCATGATCACTGCACCATGACTTTCAGGCTTAAGTGATCCTCCTGCCCCAGTCTCCCAAGTAGCTGAGACTACAGGTATATGCCACCATGTCTGGCTAATTTTTAAATTTTTTTTTTTTTGAGACAGAGTCACACTCTGTCACCTAGGCTGGAGTGCAGTGGTGTGATCCCCGCTTACTGCAACCTCTGCCTCTCGAGTTCAAGCGATTCTCCTGCCTCAGCCTCCTGAGTAGCTGGGATTACAGGTGTGCACCACCATGCCCGGCTAATTTTGTATTTTTAGTAGAGACGGGGTTTCACCATGTTAGCCAGGCTGATCTCAAACTTCTGACCTCAGGTGATCCACCTGCCTTGGCTTCCCAAAGTGCTGGAATTACAGGTGGGAGCCTCCGTGCCCGGCCTAATTTTAAAATTTTTTTGTAGTGACACAGTCCCACTATGTTGCCCAGGCTGGTCTCAATTCCTGGCCTCAAGCAGTTCTCCCACTTTGGCCTCCCAAAGTGCTGGCATTATAGGCATGAGCCACCATGCCCAACCTAGTGTTTTAAAATTTCCATATCCATCAAATTGCCAAATGGTGGAGGACTTTACTGTATCCTCTCCCTTTGCCCACTGTGGTACGCTTGGCTCAGTGGGAGCCAAGTGGGGCTGGAGTTGGGTGGGAAAATCCATGAGGCATTGGAATCAGATAACTCTGGGTCTGTATTCTGCACATGCCACCTGTGAGTGGGTGAACTGGGCTTCTGGCCAGCACTCAAAGGCCACATTCCTAGTTATAGATGTTCCTTTCACCTTGCTGAAGATGAGGAGAGCTGCACCAGACCACCTCTCAGGGTTTCCTAATGCAAATCCTTGAACCCTGCAGAAGTGAGCATCAGAGAGGTGGGAGCTACTTTTATACACACTGTCTGTGCCCTCCTCATCTCCTGCTCCTGCAGCATGCAACACCTGTAATGCTTTGTTCTGTTTATTGTCTCCCTTTCTCATTAGACCTGAGCTCTGGGATATTGTGGGCTCAAGTACTTCTCACAATTTGTATGGCATCTGCTGGGTGAATTTTCCTAGGGTGCTGGACTGGTTGTTAGGATAGCCTGGGTGACTGGCCTCATTCATGGCAGGGGCAGCAGGTGGAGAGTGGTCCCGGAAGGATTTGAGGAGGTGCATGGAGTCAGGCCCAGCCTCTGGCCTCCTGATTGCCATCTTTCTCAGGAGCTGGGATACTAATTTAGAAACTCTTGACTGCTGAAGGCTTTGATTGACCCACTGAGAGCTTTTAGGCGTGTGGATGTGAGTCAGCCAGGATTGATGGAGCATTGACTGCTAATTAGACTCCTCTGGGAAGGTAGAGGGGGGCAACACATAATGCCTTCGCTGTGGGATCTTCATCAAGGGGATGATTCTTGGACGGACATCTTTTCCTCCCTCTTTCCAGGGGCATGCTAGCCCTGTCCTTCTAGGAGCTTTCTATCCTTCAGACAAGCTACTTATGTTTTTAATTCCCTCACAGGATGAAGACATGAAGAGAAAGTTTCAAGATCTGCTGTCTGAGGAAAATGAATCCACAGCTCTACCCCAGGTTCTAGCCCAGGCATTTGTATTCCTGATGATCACTAAATGTAGTCTGGGCTTAAGGAGCTGATAAGCAAAGATGATGTGTTTCAAGATTTTCCTGAGTAGCAATTACTTAACATTGTTTCAGTTATAATGTAGTAAAAACTCTGTTTTAACTTGATCCACTCCAGCACCCTTAGATTTAAAAGTGCAAGGTATGTTTAATATCTAACACATAATAGACAGATAAGCACAGCCAGGGGTTGTCATCCAAAAGGTCACCTGCAAGGCAGTTTTGGAAGAGTCTATTAGAGGCTCAAATATAAATTTGTTGGAAAAATCAAAATTTGGATCAGTAGTTGATTCCTTGATTATAATTTTATTCTTTAAAGTTCTTTGTAAGTATTAGTTAATTCCAGTCCTGCTTTTTTGTTGTTGTTGTTGAGTGGTAGCTCTCCTTTTTCCCACTATTTCCTGTCCCCAATTTTTTTTTTTTTTCTTGAGACAGAGTCTTGGTCTGTCACTCAGGCTGGAGTGCAGTGGTGTAATCTCAGCTCACTGCAACCTCTGCCTCCTGGGTTCAAGCAATTCTCCTGCCTCAGTCTCCCCAGTAGCTGGGACTACAGGTGCCTGCCACTGCACCCAGCTAATTTTTGTATTTTTAGGTGAGATGGGGTTTTGCCATGGTGGTCAGGCTTGTCTCGAAGCGATCTGCCCATCTCGGCCTCCCAGAGTGCTGGGATTATAGGCATGAGTCACCGCACCCAGCCTTCCTCCCAATTTTATATATGGGAAACAACTAAGGCACAAAGATTGTCTTCCTGCAAAACAGCAAGACCTGGGGCTTCAACTGAGAGGAATTATAGTCCTTTTAAACTTGATATTTAGAAGAAGATAATCAAGAGGAAGTTGGTTATGTTACTTGCTTTCAGTATACATCATTCAGAGGTCAGAAACCATAAGGGAGAGAAATATCTATTAGATAAGCATATCTGAGTTCGGGGCTGTGGTGAGGACTCAGTTGTCAATGATGACAACCAGTAATTTTTGGTACTAGAATTTCACATCAAATGCCCCCACTTTACTGGAAGTGTATTGGGGAACTTTGATAATCTTAAAGAAGCCAGTGATTTTCTTTTGAACATTTCTCCATTTATTTTCAGCCTTCTACTAGTCGAAAGCGGCCCCATGAAGGGGAAGCTGAGGGTGCCGAGACCACAAAGCGCCTGGCTGTGTGTGCTGCTGTATTGTGAACTCCGTGGTTTGAACATGAAAGAAATGTACCTTCTTTCACTCTGTCATCTTTCTTTTCTTTAAGTCCGTTTTTTATAATTTGTATTTTAATTATGGGAATAATTGCTTTTTCACAGTCACTGATGTACAAATAAAAACCTGATGGAACCTGGGCTTTGTGCTTCTGCTTGATAATTGGTTCTTTAGTGGAATGGCTTTATTATTTATTTATTTGAGATAGAGTCTCACTCTGTTGCCTAGCCTGAAGTGCAGTGGTACAAGCTTGGCTCACTGCAACCTCTGCTTCCCAGGTTCAAGCGATTCTTGTGCCTCAGCCTCCCGAGTAGCTGGGATTACATGTATGTACCACCATGCCCAGCTAATTTTTATATTTTTTGTAGAGACAAGGTTTTGCCATGTTGGCCACCCAGGTCTTGAACTCTGGACTTCAGGTGATTCGCCTGCCTTGGTCTCTTAAAGTGCTGGGATTACACGCGCGAGCCATTGCGCCTAGCCTGAATGGCTTGTTTTTTTTTTTTTTTTTTGAGACGGAGTCTCGCTCTGTCGCCCAGGCTGGAGTGCAGCTGCCAGATCTCAGCTCACTGCAAGCTCCGCCTCACAGGTTTACGCCATTCTCCTGCTTCAGCCTCCCAAGTAGCTGGGACTACAGGCACCCGCCACCTCGCCCAGCTAGTTTTTTTTGTATTTTTTAGTAGAGACGGGGTTTCACCATGTTAGCCAGGATGGTCTCGATCTCCTGACCTCGTGATCTGCCCGTCTCGGCCTCCCAAAGTGCTGGGATTACAGGCTTGAGCCACTGTGCCCAGCTGGCTTTTTTATATTTAAAGTTGTTGTGTGCCTTTCATCTGGAACTACACCTTGGCTATCACTAGGCAGGTTTCCCAGGATGTCACCCTGGTCTCAGCCTGTGAGAGCCGAATACAAATTCTAAGGACCCCTTGGAAAGTTCCAGGGAAAGGAACATAATGAGGTTGGGGGTGGAGTTTGTAGAGACTGGCGGACTGGCTGCCAACATCTTCATGAGAACAGCAGGTACCTTGGTGCATAATAACAGGCCAGTTTATATTCTTATCCTCGCCCTCATAAAGATACAGGTCTACAGTCTCTGAAACCTTTGGGCTAGATAAGTTGTGAAATTTAATGATCCAATTTTAGGAAGATGATAAGGCATATCTGCTATGTGTATGTGTAGCACCCCAGTGGAGTCCTACACATGTGGAGTCCTACCCCAGTGGAGACCAAGCATGTTAATATTTCCACAGCAAATATTCACAGTAAGAGGGATAGAGAAAGATTATAGGTAGTTGCATATTGGTTCTTATCAGTCTTTTCTTCCAAAGGAGCTACAATGACTTGTTTTTGAGAGCTGTTTGGGTTTTGGAAGTGGAGATAAGGCCTATGGTTATGTCATGTTGACCCAACAGTGACCAGGGAGGCCCTGTGCGAAGACTTACCCTTGGCTGTTCTTGTCCTCACAGTGATTCTATGAGTGAGGTCCTCCAGCCACTGTCATGTCACAGGTGAGGAAACCAAAGTTAGAGGAGGAAGGTAACTTTTCCAGTGTCACACAGCTGGTAAATGGCAGAGGTGGGACCCAACCCAGGTCTTTTTGACTCTAAAACTAACGTTCCTTATTGTCCACTGAAACTGCTTTTATAACTTTGCTTGGTTGATGCTAGGACACTTTGTAGTTTGCTGGCGATGCCATGAATTGAGTGCCATGGTTCAAATGCCACTGGCAATTCAGTCAGGGCAGGGTCAAGGGCGCACAGCCGTTTCCTTAGGAAATGAGGTTGGTGGTTGGAAATTTCCATTAAAGGGTATTTAAGCATTCTGAGACTTGGCTGGCCTGGTGTAGGGGGTTTGGGAATTTAGGTGGTTTGCATGTTTAAAGGAATGAGGCTGAGATTGCCAAGTAGATGGGTTTTAGCTCATTTGAATATTTAATGTGGAGGCTGTGGTTTCCTGGGACATTTATCCCACTCGTGCAGAGTTAGCTGGCTTTTCTCTGTTTTGTTTCATTTCTTTTCTGTTTTCTTTTTTTTTTTTGTTTTTGAGATGAAGTCTCACACTTGTTGCCCAGGCTAGAGTGCAGTGGTGCGATCTCGGCTCATTGCAACCTCCACCTCCTGGGTTCAAGCGATTCTCCTGCCTCAGCCTCCCAAGTAGCTGGGATTACAGGTGCTTACCACCATGCCCAGCTAATTTTTTATTTTTAGTAGAGATCGGGTTTCACCATGTTGGCCAGACTGGTCTTGAACTCCTGAGCTCAGGCAATCTGCCCGCCTCCCTCCCAAACTGCTGGACACAGGCATGAGCCACCACGCCCTGCCACCCTTCTCTGTTTCTAGAGCATTTTATATTAACTCCCTCTCATGATATCTTCATAGTAGACTGAAAAATGGCCCCTCCAAAGTGTCCTCATCTTAATCCAAGAATATGTTCCTTTCCATGACAAAAGGGACTTTGCAGATGTGATTAAGCATCTTGAGACTGGAGCTTATCCTATGTTGCCTGTGGGTCCAGTGTCCCATCACAGTGTTTTGTTTTTGTTTTTGTTTTCTTTTTTTTTGAAATGGAATTTTTTGCTCTTGTTGCCCAGGCTGGAGTGCAATGGTGCAATCTCAGCTCACTGCAACCTCCACCTCCCAAGGTTCAAGCGATTCTCCTGCCTCAGCCTCCCGAGTAGCTGGGATTATAGGCGCTTGCCACCATGCCCAGCTAATTTTTGTATTTTTAGTAAAGATGCAGTTTCACCATGTTGGCCAGGCTGGTCTCTAACTCCTGACCTTGTGATCTGCCCGCCTCAGCCTCCCAAAGTGCTGGGATTACAGGCATAAGCCACCACGTCTGGCCCACAGTGCTCTTTTAAGAAGGACTCAGCAGTCAGGGGAGATGGCAATGTGATGATGACTGAATGTCTTAGTCTTTTTTGTATTGCTATGCAATATCTGAGACAGGGTAAGTTATAAAGAACAGGTTTATTTCTTACAGTTCTGGAGGCTGGGAAGGTCAAGATCGAGGGGCCCGCTTCTGGTGAGGGTCTTCTTGCTGTGTCATCCCATGATGGAAGGCATCACATCAAGAGAGAAAGGGGGTTGAACTCATCCTTTTATTTGGAACCACCTCCATGATAATTAACCCTCTGCTGAGATAACACCATTACTCTATTAATGAGGGCAGATCTTTCATGACCTAATTACTTCTTAAAGGTCCCATCTCTCAACACTGTTGCATTGGAGATCAAATTTCCAACACATGAACTCTGGGGGTCACATTCAAACCATAGCACTGTGCAGAGATTGGACTGGTGTGCTTTAAAAATGGAGGAAAGGGGCACAATCCAAGGATTATAGGTAACCACTAAAAACATGAAAAGGCAAGAAAATGAGTTTTCCCTTCAGAACCTGCTGAAGGAATCAGTCCTTTACAACTTGACTTTAGTCAAGTGAAACTGATTTGAGGCTTCTGACCTGTAGAACAATAAGATATTAAGTCTGTGTTGTAAGCCGATCAGTTTGTGGTAATTTGTTACAGCAGCCGTAGAAAACTAATTGACTCACCAATGTGAGAAATCAGCTGCTGATTTAAGGCTACCCAGCACCTACTTCCTCTCCTAATCTCACTCTAATATTCTCTTGGAGGAATTGTTTTCCCTGTCCCATCAAGTTATGGGAGATGGGGCCAGGTGTGGTGGCTCAGCAATCCCAGCACTTTGGGAGGCTAAGGCGGGTGGATCACTTGAGGTCAGGAGTTTGAGACTAGCCTGGCCAACATAGTAAAACCCCATCTCTACTAAAAATACAAAAAGTAGCTGGGGGTGGTGGTGGGTACCTGTAATCCCAACTACTCCAGAGGCTGTGGTACGAGAATTGCTTGAACCCAGGGGCAGATGTTGCAGTGAGCTGAGATCACACCACTGCACTCCAGCCTGGGGGACAGAGTGAGACTCCATCTCAAAAAAACAAAAACAAAAACAAAAAAACAAGTTATGGGAGAGGATGGGAAAGCAAAAGTATCTTTTGCACCTACCCCCACTCCCACCATTGCAAAGCTGAAGGGGTTCCTAGAGGCTTCTGCTGTGGAGCTGTTCCCACTGGCCCCCCAGCTGGAGGTGGGTTTAGGACTTTGAAACATTAACAAATGGAGCTGGGATGGCAATGACGAGAACAATATTGTGCTAAACTGAACTCTGCACTTCCTAACTTTGGCTTTGGGTAAATTACCTCAAATTGCTGAGCCTTTGTTTCCATATTTGTAAAATGGGTGCAGTAAGAGTACCAACCTCTTCTATGCTGTTTGGAGGAGGCAGGTCCATAAAGTACCTGGCATGTGGTAAGGGATTCATGAATGTTGGCTTCTATCATTAAGGGTGGGAGAACCACATAAGTAGCCAGAGTCATAGAAAGTTCTTGAGCCAGAGAAGTAAGATAATCTTTTCAGCTTTTTGTGCAGCATAAAAGGTAGGTAATTTGCTTGCCCTTGACCAAGCAAATCTGGGACTTGCCAGGCCTGGGGTGAATGGTGGGAACCCAGGTAGAGGGATATTTCTCATTGGCTGAATTAACTGTGACTCTGTTTTGCGGAGCAGCCAGGTTGCTTCATGGTGGACTTGCTGCATGCCTACATGATGGTGCCATGGATAGCTCTTGTTTGTGCCAGCCCTGTACCCGATACCTCTTGTGGTAACTGCATCCCTATTTTTCAGAAGGAAGCATCCCTCCTTCCACATTCCCATTTTCCCCATGTCCTTCTGGAGAGGATGACCCCAGCGCCTTCCTGAAGGGGCTTCATAGGCAGGTCTGGCCAAGCTTGGTGTGGTGATTGGCTCAGGCAGGGGCATGTGGCCCAAATGGGTCCAGTGGAAGTCAGCCCTGGGACTTTGGCTGCAACTATCAGGGAACAGCCTCCGCTTTCTTGGGCAGATGTGAGTTAGGAGCCGCTCAGGCCACTATGTGGAAAGAACTGCATGAGAATGAAGTAATCAAAGGGAAGCAAGCACTGAGAGATTAGAGAGACTTATGTTGTATAAGTGCCTGTATCCAGCTATGCCTGAAGTGAGGTACCACCCCAGGCCTTTTCAGTCATGCTATCAGTTTTGTTCCTTTTTTCTGTTTTACTCTTGGTGGAGTTTTTTGTTTTTTGTTTTTTTGTTTTTTTCTCGTTACTTGAATAAGAAAAATACCAGACTAGAAGGCTGGGTGTGGTGGCTCACACCTATAATCCCAGCACTTTGGGAGGCCAAGGCAGATGGATCACGAGGTCAGGAGTTCGAGATCAGCCTGACCAACATGGTGAAACCCCGTCTCTACTAAAAACACAAAAAAATTAGCCGGGCGTGGTGGTATGTGCCTGTAATCCCAGCTACTCAGGAGGCTGAGGCAGGAGAGTCGCTTGAACCTGGGAGGCAGAGATTACAGTGAGCTGAGATTGAGCCACTGCATTCCAGCCTGGGTGACAGAGCAAGACTCTGTCTCAAAACAAAAACAAAAACAACCCCCAAAAAACCAGACTAGTAAATGCAACCATTTACAAATTCCAAGAGACTCTTGAAGATTCTTTTTGTTACTAGGGAAAACATTCTCCGTTTTTCTGCCAACTTTAGGGTTTTCAGAGAAGTTTGGGGGAGAAAAAGAAAAGCAAAGATGTGGGAAGAAAGAGTCCTTCCAGCCCCAAGTTGGGCGAACTCCCGCCAGCTACTTATACCACAGGGTTTGGGAGCACAGCCCCTTTCATTAAACTTTTAGGAGTCTTGGATGGATAGGGTGGGAATTACACTAGTGAAACTCAGCTTTGTGTATGTCAGGCATTAGGCCCTGGGATATGCAGTCATGTGTTGTATAATGACATTTTAGTCAATGACAAACCACATGTAAGTCGGTGGTACCATAAGATGATTATGGAGCTGAAAAATTCCTATTGCTTAGTGACGTAGCCATTGTAATGTTAGGGTAACGCATTATTGTGTTTCTGGTGATGCTGGTGTAAACAAATCTGTGCTGCCAGTTCTATAAAAGCATAGCATGTACAATTACATACAATATATAATACTTGATAATTAACAACTATATTACTGGTTTATTTTTTTGAGACAGAGTCTTGCTGTGTCGCTCAGGCTGGGGTGCAGTGGTGTGATCTTGGCGCACTGCAACTTCTGCCTCCCAGATTGAAGCGATTCTTCTGCCTCAACCTCCTGAGTAGCAGGGATTGCAGGCACCCACCACCACGCCCAGGTAATCTTTGTATTTTTAGCTGAAATGGGGTTTCACCATGCTGCCTAGGCTGGTCTTGAACTCCTGACCTCAGATGATCTGCCCGCCTCAGCCTCCCAAAGTGCTGGGATTACAGGCATGAGACACTGCGCCTGGCTCTGGTGTATTTAGTATTTTTCATAATTTTAGAATGTATGTTTTCTATTTACATTAAAAAATAGCTAACTATAAAACAGCCTCAGGCAGGTCCTTCGGGAAGTAATCTGGAAGAAGAAGGCATTGTTATCACAGGAGATGACAGCTCCATGCATGTTATTGCCCAGGCTGTAGTACAATGGCAATATCTTGGCTCACTGCAACCTCCACCTCCTGGGTTCAAGCGATTCTCCTGCCTCAGTCTCCTGAGTAGCTGGGATTGCAGGTGCACACCATCATGACTGGCTAAGTTTTGTATTTTTGGCAGAGATGGGGGTTTCACCATGTTGGCCAGGATGGTCTCGAACTCCTGACCTCAAATGATCTGCCTGCCTCGGCCTCCCAAAGTGCTGGGATTACAGGTGTGAGCCACCAAGCCTGGCAAAAATTTTTAAATAAATGTCAGTAAGCTAAGGTTAATTTATTATTGAAGAAAAGCTTTAAAAAATTTTGGTGTAGCCTAAGCATATGGTGTTTATAAAGTCTACAGTAGTGTACAGTAAGGTCCTATGCCTTCACACTCACTGACTCGTCCACAGCATCTTCCAGTCATGCAAGCTCCTTTCATGGTAAGTGCCTTATACAGGAGTACCATTTAAAAATCTCTTATACTCGTCTCTTACTGTACCTTCTCTACGTTCAGGTACACAAGTACTTACCATTGTATTACAATTGCCTATAGTCAGTAAATATCATGCCGTACAGGTGGTAGCCTGGGAGCAATAGGCTAAGCCATACAGCCTAGGTGTGTAGTAGGCTATACAAGGCTACACAAGGTTCGTGTAAGTGCACTTTGCTGTTTGCACAATGACGCAATCACCTAAGGAGGCATTTCTCAGAACCATCCCATGATTAAGAGAGGCATGACCGTACAGTCATCATCTCCCTGAAAGCTCAGTCAACCCTGTGCAGTGCTACTGCCACACTCCCCTTTCGCACATGCGGAAATCAAGGATCTTTGGCTCCTCTAAATGACTTGTTCAAGGTTTCTCAGTTTTCAAGAGATGGAGGCGGGACTTGAATTGAGATTTCCCTTTCTTGAGAACCTGTGGTCCTTAACCATTAAAAACCACTTAAGAGGTCTTGTTTCTTGATCACTGCCTACTAAGTGCTAGGCGCGGTGCTGAGGCTTTCTCTTGATTATTACATTGAGTCCTTAGATTCAGGAGAAACAGGCCAGGTAATCTCAGCACTTTGGGAGGCCGAGGCGGGCGGATCACGAGGTCAGGAGCTGGAGATCATCCTGGATAACACGGTGAAACCCCGTCTCTACTAAAAACACAAAAATTAGCCGGGCGTGGTGGCGGGCGCCTGTAGTCCCAGCTACTCGGGAGGCTGAGGCAGGAGAATGGCGCTAACCCGGCAGGCGGAGCTTGCAGTGAGCGGAGGTGGCGCCACTGCACTCCAGCCTGGGCGACACAGTGAGACTCCGTCTCAAAATAAATAAATAAATAAAATAAATAATAATAAAAAAAAAGAGTTAGGAGAAACAAGTCTCGAAGCCCTGACCCTAACACGCAAGGGTTAGTGGAGATGTGGGACTTGAACTCGGCTTCTCGGTTGAGTCTGGCTGTCTCCGGGATGCGAGCATGTGCTTGCACACCTCCACGATGGCGATCCCGCCCCCTTAGTGGCGTCCTTAGCTCGGACTTCTTGCGGGGAAGTCCCTCCTGGCCCGGACCCTCGTCCCAGTCCCCGCGTCGTGGGGGAAGCGAAAGGGGCAGTGTGGGGAAATGGCAGAGGGGTCGGGTGCGGGGTGTTCTGCAGACAGACAGGCGGCGGTGTGGAGCGAGGAACTGCGTGCTCACCCGCCGAGTTGGATGGGCCCGGCGGGGGTGGGCGAGACACTGGGAACAGCGGCCAGCTCCAGAGGGCGCGAGGCGGGGCGCGCGGGGAGGGGGCGCGGCGAACGCGCGCGTGCGCGGTGCGTGTGTGGGCCCGCGGGGGCGCGCGCGGTTGGGGGGGCAGTGAGGGTTGCCGCGGCGGCGCGCAGCACGGCGGGAACATGGCGCGCGGAACCGGCGCGCGCGCCTAGCTGGCGGGACCGTTAGCTCGAGGCGGACGCGGCCCGGGCCCCGTGGGGATGGAGCAGTCGCCGCCGCCGGCGCCCGAGCCGACCCAAGGGCCGACCCCAGCAAGGAACCGAAGGCGGCGGGAGCCCGAGTCGCCGCCGGCGTCGGCGCCGGTGAGTGCGTGAGGGGCTCGGGCCGGGAGACTTTCTTTGTGAAACTCCGGCGGTGGGAGCTGAGGCCGGGCCTCAGCTGCTGAGGAGCGCCTGCGAGGCGGAAGGCGTCTCGCAGTCCGGGTTCGATCCCAGCCGCGAGCCGTCAGGCGGCGGGACCTGGTGTGCCGCCTGCCTGCCTCAGTTTCCGCGAGAGTGTGTGTGGGTGTGTGAGGGTGTGTGTGGGTGTTGGCCTGCACTCACGGGGGTGGAGGGGGGTCGGTATACAGTCGGCGCCTAATGCGTGCGGCGCCTCCCTCTCACCCCAGCCCCCGTGGGGCGGAATCTGGGGGCCGGAGTCTACCTGAGCGGTAGGCGGCACCCTTGGGGAGACAGGTGTCGGCTCAGCCCGGAAGGCTCAGGTGCTACCTTTCCCGGGTGGGGTTTGTGAGGAGTGAGCTCTTCGTCCCTGGAGGCGAGCAAGTCTGTCGGTGGCTCATCACAGAGCGCTATTTTGGAAAGCGTTCCACCCACCTCAGCTTCGGGCTGTGTTTGGGTCACTAGTCAGGGGGAAGGATGCTGAGCGACATGGACTTTAGAGGTGGGGCTTCCGCTGGACGGGATGGCTCTGGGCTCTCGAGCTTACCCGCACCCCTGCCTCTCAAACCCGTTAGAGCGTAGGAATCATTAGGAGCGCCTGATAGAAATGCCACGGACTGTGTGGCTCACCAAAGCAGAGAAGCTGATTTTGAACTTAAGCTCCGAAGTTGTGATCAGGCGAGCTTGGCAAGCACTGTTTTAGAGAGTAGGCTTCCTGCGAGCAGGAGCCGGTTCTGTGTGTACCTCACCATGGCATCCTGGTACCTGACATGGTGCCTGGCACACGGTAGATGATCAGAAAATATCTGTAGAAAGTCTAAATTGTTAGGGAGAGTGCAACATAGGAGTTCTTGAGACATTTTCAGGAGCTTCTTGAGATTAATTTACAGTATGTGATTTATTTTACAGTACAGATTTATTTTACAGTATGTGATTTTTTCTCAGCTCCCAGTTTAACTTTTGTGATTGTTTTTAATGCCGTGTTTTCAGTATGTGCTAGGCAAAAGCAGGGTATATGTTGCTTAGTATGCACTATCCACTAGGCCGGGTGCAGTGGCTCACTCCTGTAATCCCAGCACTTTGGGAGGCGGATTGCTTGAGCCTAGGGGCTTGAGGCTGTAGTGAGCCAAGGAGTTAGAGACCAGTGTGGTAAACATAGCGAGACTCGTCTCCACAAAAAATGCAAAAATTAGCTGGGTGTGGTAGCGTGCACTTGCAGTCCCAGCTACTCTGGAGGCTGAGGTGGGAGGATCCTTTGAGCTCAGGAAGTCCAGGTTGCAGTGAGCCAGGGTTGTGCCACTGCATTCCAGCCTGGATAGCACAGCGAAACCCAGTCTCTTAAATGAGTAAAATACCTAAATGATTATGTGTACTCCAGCTAGGTTAAAATTAATTCCGAATCAAAATTCTAAATTAAAATATGCATGTTTGTTTCTCTTCATCATTTGGGAACACTAGGCTTTTAGGATTTCATTCCATTGAGGCAGGTAAATATCTACATTTTTGACAAAGCAAATAGGAATTACTGTTAATTCAAGAAAGTTGGCAGTTTGCTTAAACCTGAGTATTTGTAGTCTTTGTGATTTTTTTTAATTTTTAATTTTAATTTTTTTCTTTTTTTTGAGATGGAGTCTCACTCTGTCATCCAGGCTGGAGTGCAGTAGCACAATCTCGGGTCACTGCAACCTCCACCTCCTGAATTCAAGTGATTCCCTGCCTCGGCCTCTGGTGTAGATGGCATAACAAGGGTGCGCCACCATGCCCAGCTAATTTATGTATTTTTAGCAGAGAGGAGGTTTCACTGTGTTGCCCAGGCTGGTCCCAAACTCCTTGACCTCAAGTGATCTGCCCACCTCGGCCTCCCAAAGTGCTGGGATTACAGGCGTGAGCCATCACACCTGGCCTTATTTTTATTTTTATTTTTTTGAGACAGAGTCTCACTCTGTCGCCCAGGTTGGAGTGCTGTGGCATGATCTCCGCTCACTGCAACCTCTACCTCCCAAATTGCAGCAATTCTCATGCCTAAGCCTGCTGAGTAGCTGGGATTACTAGACCCGGCTAATTTTTTAAAATTTTTTTTAGTAGAGACGTGGTTTTCCTATGTTGGCCAGGCTGCTCTGGAACTCCTGGCCTCTAGTGATCCACCTGCCTCGTCCTCCCAAAGTGCTGGAATTACAGGCGTGAGCCACTGCTCCCAGCCAATCTTTGTGATATTTTGAAATTGAGGTTTATATTTTATTCAGAGTCAAAGCTAAAATAGAATTGTTTGAAAATTAATATTTCAGTAACTATTGTTTACATTAAGTTGAATTTTATTTTATTGGTTTCATTTCAGTAGGGTTTTAACTATTTTAAAAAATATATATGTATATAAAATGTTTTTTTTTTCCTGAGATAGTCTTGCTCTGTTGCCCAGGCTGGAGTGCAATGGCATGATCTTGGCCTCACTGCAGCCTCTGCCTCCCTGAACCAAGCAATGCTCTTGCCTCAGCCTCCCAAGTAGCTGGGATTACGGGTGCCCACCACCACGCCCAGCTAATTTTTGTATTTTTAGTAGAGATGGGGTTTCACCATGTTGGCTGGTTTGGTTTTGAACTCCTGATCTCAAATGATCCATCCTCCTCGGCCTCCCAAAGTGCTGGGATTACAGGTGTGAGCCACTGCACCTGACCTAAAAAATATTTTTAAAGATGGGTCTTGCTGTGTTGCCCCAGCTAGTGTTGAACTCCCAGTGTTGGCCTCAAGTGATCCTTCTGCGTCAGCCTTCGGAGTAGCTGGAAGCACAACTGTGAGCCACCACACCTAGCTTTTTAAAAATTTTCTAATAAAATTAATAGAGTTTCTTGTTTCACTGGACAAAATATGCATATATAGGAAGGCAAGACTTTTGGACTTGAGATTGCACCGAAGAAGAAAAATGGAAAAATTAGGCACTTTAGTCTCTCAGTGTGTTATTTTTGTAGCTTATACAGATATGTCGTTTTAAAGTGTCTTTAAAAAGCTTTATTTATTTATTTATTTATTTATTTATTTATTTATTTAGAGACGGAGTCTCGCTCTGTCGCCCAGGCTGGAGTGCAGTGGCCGGATCTCAGCTCACTGCAAGCTCCGCCTCCTGGGTTCACGCCATTCTCCTGCCTCAGCCTCCTGAGTAGCTGGGACTACAGGCGCCCGCCACCTCGCCCGGCTAGTTTTTTGTATTTTTTAGTAGAGATGGGGTTTCATCGTGTTAGCCAGGATGGTCTCGATCTCCTGACCTTGTGATCCACCCGTCTCGGCCTCCCAAAGTGCTGGGATTACAGGCTTGAGCCACTGCGCCCGGCCTAAAAAGCTTTATTGAGATAAAGATAAATGAGATAAATTCATCTACCATGAAATCAACCCCTTGAGTGCAGAATTTTGTGGTTTATAATATATGTTCACAGAATCGCACAAACAAGACAGGTATCTAGATACTTTCAGACCATTTTCATCAGTCCACAAGAAATCCCATACCCATTAGCAGTTATGGCTTATTCCCTTTTTTCCTAGTTCCTAGCAATAACTAGCCTACTTTCTGTCTCTGAGTTTAGCTCTTCTAGAGGTTTTCACAGAATGAAATCTTACTACATATGGTCTTTCATGATTGACTTATTTCACTTGGCACAGTGTTTTCAAGGTTTATCCATGCTGTAGCATATATCAGCACTTCATTATTTTTTAATGCTGAGTAATCTTTTGAATGGATATACCATATGTTATCAGTTCCTCTGTTGATAGGCACGTGTTTTTTTTCCGATTTCTGGCTATTATGAATAATGCTGCTCTGAACATTTGTGTACAAATTTTAGTGTGGATGCATATTTTCATTTCCCTTGAGTATATCCCTAAAGAATAGACTATCTGGGTCATATGATAATTGTTTAAGACTACAGGCACGTGCCACCACACCTGGCTAATATTTAAAAATTTTTTGTAGATAAGGGGTCTCGCAATGTTGCCCAGGCTGGTCTTGAACTCCTTGCCTCAAGAGATCTTCTTACCTCAGCCTCCCAGAAAGTGTTGGGATTATAGATGTGAGCCACTGCACCTATAAAAGAGGCATGAGTCTCTTTTTACATTTTTTTTTTTTTTTTTTTTTTTGAGTCAGGATTTCACTCTGTTGCCCAGGCTGGAGTGCAGTGGTGGGATCCCAGCTCACTGTAGCCTGGACCTCTTGGGGCTCAATTGATCCTCCCACCTCAGCCTCCTGAGCAGGTAGGACTACAGGGACGGCTAATTTTTGTATTTTTTGTAGAGATGGGGTTTTGCCGTGTTGCCCAGGCTGGTCTGGAACTCCTGGGCTCAAGTGGTCTGCCAGCCTCTGCCTCCCAAAGTGCTAGGATTACAGGCGTGAGCCACCACACCCGTTCTACTCTTTTGATAATGTTGTTTTGATGCCAAAAAAGTTTTTAATTTTGAGGAAGTCTAGCTTATCTGTTTTTTCTTTGTTGCTCATGATTTTGTTTTCATGTCTAAGAAGCCATTGCCAAATCTAAGGTCGTGAAGATTTATCCCTATGATTTACCCCTATGTTTTCTTCTAAGAGTTGTATGCTTTTAGCCCTTATATTTAGGTTGTTGATCCATTTTGATTTAATTTTTGTGTGTGATGTGAGGTGTGTGTGGTGTGTGGTCCAAATTCATTATTTTGTATATGGATACAAAAAGTTCTTCCAGCACTATATATTGAAAAGAGTGTCCTTTCCTTTATTGATGGTCTTCACGTCTTTTTTGAGAATCAGTTGAATATATATATAAGGTTTCATTTCTGGACTATAAGTTCTGTTCTCTTGACCAGTATTTCTTTCTGTCTTTATGCCAGTACTACACTGTTTCATTACTGTAGCTTGGTAATAGGTTTTGAAATTAAGTGTAAGTCCTTTAACTTTATTCTTTTTCAAGACT